GTTACTTTGATAAGGGAACAAAACACTGACAAACATTGAGAATACCCTAGTTATGCATCATGAAAAACACACACTGTTAAGAATTTGCTATTAACTGTGCCAAATACGGGCTATTAGAGCTGCTCTGATGCTGAAAATCCACTTACACTAATATAAACTAGAACTGCCTTTGTATTTGTATGTCTTTGTGTAAATAAAATTTTCATGCAGGGATCTCCAAGCTTTGAGGACATGGGCCATTAGCCTAATTTCAAGGCTTGTCTGTATAGAATGTTGACATGCACCAACTCTGCTGAAAGGCAGGAGAATGAAAAAGACCATAGCACAAGATTTTAAACAATTTTAGGTTTAATTACATAATGCACCTGTAGATATTCTAGCATAAACACAATTGTAGAAATCTACATCCTATTTTAGGGTATTTTCCCACCTCGCATCCCTTAAAAGCTGTACAGTTATAAAAAAATGTGACTCTCAAGCAAAATAAACTTTTTCTTTTGCAACATACAAAATAAGTTAAACGATTCAGAAGGTCTTGAGCCATAAGTTCCCCAATGACTGTGTTCTGGCCGCCTGTAAGCATGACATGCAGCTCCTGGTCTATGACCAGAACTCAATAAATACAGATCAAACAAAACCCCAAAACACTTAGATTTCTTTAGAAACTGATGAAAGTCAAGAAAATATATAGTTAGGGTTAACAATTCCATTCTCAACTTACATCATCCAGTGGCAAAAAGAACAAGGCAGGTTATTTAGTCCTTAGTGCATTTTCCAGCTTGTACCGGTTTGGCAAAAAACAGAAATGTAGTTCCTTTAGAAATGTTTTTTCTCATTCAAAATGTCTAAAAACCTTAATAAATGATTTCTACTCATCTAGTAATCTGTTATGCCCTCTCATATAACTTACAGCATAGGCATATCTTAAAGTTACTAAAAATAACACCTTCATGAACTGAAATCACAATGTGCCAGAATTGGTTTACAGCATTTCCTAGAGTGAAGTGGTTTAAGTATAAAATGGGGAAAAAAAAAAAATCTTACATGACTAAAATGTGGGGAAAATCTACTAATGGGATCCCATTCTAAACAACTTCTGAGAAGGTCTGTATAAATAAAAATATGGTGAATGTACAATCTAAAAGTTACATACCAAGCTCACTATATTTTGGCTTAAAATTACTGTCTGCCTGCTGGGGAATGACTATCTTCAATATATTTTACATAGTTACTTAGCAACTCTTGGCATTCAAAAAACGTTAGATGATAACTTAGATTGAAGTGAAATATTTTGGAAACAAATTTTAAGTGTACACATAACACAACCCAGTTTAAATACACTGATAGCATTTTGGGCCTTGTCTTTCAGGATTGGTATAAAAATAATAAAGAAAATCAGCAGTTAGCTTGTAGGTTTACAGGAAGGAACAGTGGATGAAACAGGAATGAATTTTATTCTAAGGAAGTTTTCCAATGGAGCATACTAAGCAGACAATGGCTAGGTTGATTATAGCAGATTTGCAGTCTTGGCATTCTCTGCTTCTTGGAGAACCGGAATATATTTTGAGAATGTTAAGCCAAGGGGAACTTCACTATTTTTCTCTAGACTTTTTTAAATTAAATGATGTTCATAATTTTGTATCAGCTGCAATACAATTATTTGCCATATTCCTTTTTATACTGTCAATTAATGATTTCAAAGAATTTTTTATTTCTTTTAATGCTTATCTAATATATATATATATATATATATATACACACATTAAAAAAAAAGATCTGGGTCTTTGAATACTTGTTCAAAATTAACCAGATTCTATACCTGTGAAGCAATGCCTTAAGTTATTGACCTGTTCCAGTGGTGGTGAGGAGCGGAGTTCACAACTTTTCCTGAATATTAAACTTGTAGATTCATTAGGTTCTTTACAGTTGTATGGTAGAGCCAACAAGTGAATGGTTAACATCTCTTATGTCTACAAACAAAAGCTGAAAAGACATTGCTTATGACAAAGGAAATTCCACCAATCCCACTTTAAAATAATATTTTCCCACCATTTTAACTCTAAGTAACAATGTAGAGTTCCACATTTTTAATATATATACTTTGCTCAAATGTGTATTTTGGGATGGGTTATACCAACCAAAGAGTGAACAGGATAGTAATATCCTTTTATAATTTGTTTAAAAATCTTTTTTCCCACAACTTCTTTAACATTCGAAGTTCTTGATTCTTTGGCAGAAAACATTTAAAAAACAAAAAACAAAAAAACAAAAAAAAAAAAACCGGGTTATCAGTAGATACGACTTTATTTTATATGAAATTCCCCTTTATCCTTTGTTTGCAACCTTGACCACCTCAAAGGGAATGTGTCAAAGAAACCCACATACCGCAATATATCAGGGTATTCTTGAAAGTTTCTCTGTCGTCATTTTGCAGTAATGTGCCAACAATAGAAATGTTTTACACTAAACACAATTTTATCAGCACAAGTCTAGAAAACCAAAGTGTATACTTTCAGTCTAAGTCCTTTTCACATATAATTCATTTTAATTCAAAGTTTTTGCTTTGTGAAAATTTGCCTAGATTTCAAGTCTTTACAACAGCAGCAAACAAAATATTCTGAATACTAAATTATATCTCCCGTTAATACATTTGTTGTAGACTGGAGTTTGTATTCGGGTATTTTTCAAAAAGGAGTTTAAAGTACTAAAGGCCTCTGTTATATAGCACCTATTGCAACTTAAACCCATGGTTAGTGCTCTAACAAGGCTTCAATACGGTCTAAACTCTAGAAGAATTGCCGCTTTCCTATACTTTCTCCAGCTCTTAATGACCATATATATTTGGATACAGAACATTTTTTTCTAAATTTTCTATTTGTTTAAACGTCTTCAAAGCATATTTGAATTGAATTTCAGTGAACATAGACTCTCTGAGGGACTGAATCTAAACACTAAGCAGTAGAACTGTTTAATTGTTCAAAATGTAATCACCTATAATCAATCTATTGGCATAATAATTTGTAAGAACTGGCTGCTTGGATTGCATTCTTGGTAGATGAACCACAGTTAACTGGTTTAATCACAATGTATGGTTAGAAAGGATATACTCACTATCAACTTCACACTTATTCGAGTTTGGTAAATGTCAGGCAGTGAGAGTGGTATTGTAACCCTTAAGCCAGTGGGACATTTGCTAAGTGGAATATTCAGTCTTTACTATGATAAAAATTACCTTCGTCAGAGGAATAAAAAGAATTCCTTATTTCCTATCAGGCATCTTGTTGAAATAAATGATCTACCCATTTGATACTTCTTTTGATCACTTGCTTAACTGAGAAGTAGAACTAATAGGTGGAAGCAGGAGCTGGTGTGTCTAGAGGTAGAGACAGGGCACATGAGAGAGTTTGCACGCTGTAGTGGTTTTACCTGGCTGCAGGACTAAAATGGCAGAGGGAGATGGGGTGGTAGGAAGAGCCACCTGCACATCCTAATAACTTACCTTTCACTAGCAGGAATCCATGGAATGCCTGCCTGCTTTAGATAAAAAGGCAAAAATTCTTAACTGACTTTCACATAAATGAAATAAACCTAGCTAGAAGGAGGAAAGGAGGCTTTGTATATGACTATGGCTCCTTACATAGCCGTTTTACTGTCTGTGAATGTAAGCCCTTCCCTCCCTTCCAAGAGAACATTGTGTCTCACAATAAAAATCACAACTTGCTTGGAACCACATGCTATTGGTGCATCCTATTTTTAGGCTGCTTTCATTATTTTATTTTTTATACAGATACATACATAACTAGAATCAAAGCAAAAATATTAATGGGCAGGTACTACAGAACTAAAGTGAAACAAAACAAAACAAACAAAAGAACCAACATCAACTGAAAACAACAGCTATAAACTTTCAAGGCCAAAAGAGAAGATTTTAGGGGCAACACCTGTTCAAGAAGGTAATGAAGGAATATAAAGTTTCCAGAGAGGTATTTATAATGCAAGTCTAATGCCAGCTTTTTAATAATAAAAATGAGAAGTGCTTTAGTATACACTGACTAGCACATATAATGCTTAATTTGGAAAGAAAAATTAATGAAGTTCCTTGGGCCAGCAGCAGATATGGTGTGTCTATTGCCGGCAATAGACACAGCACTGGAACAGAGAAACCCAAATCCCAGGGCAAAAGTATTCACAGAAGTAATGGCTGAAGGTTTCAGAATTTGACAGTCAAGGTTTAATCACAAGTGCTACACTTTGTACAATGTTATGGCTCTGCCTGAAATTTTACAGCTGTAACAGAAACTAAATAAAACAAAGTTCATGTTTTAGTGTCAATCACACATTAAATATTTAGTTACAAACCCCTTTTTTTCTTGAAACAAAGGGTTTATTTGTCTTTAAAGTGTTGAGATATTTGGAATGGATGTCATGCCTATTAATTTAATTATATTGGCGGTTCTCATTCAACTCTATGTTGGTCATGTGACTATTGATGAATTTTAATAGAAGCCTAATGGCCAAAGGCCAAAACTACATTCAAAACCTGCTAATATATCCAGGCAGATAGAAAATTCCAACACACACACATACACACACACATACATGCTAAAACTCAAACTAAAAATCTCCCAAAGGAACTGCTTTGTTTGTAGACTTCAATTTGAAGTAGATACTAAGGGCAAGAATAGACCAGTTAAAATTCACCTGAAAATCCCTTCCCCAACTTCAAGTGTGCTAAAACATCACTGTCAGCTTAACATCTCTTCATGTATGTTATGTATAGATGTATTTCTTTCAAAATGATATTCCAGATATTTAAATATCAAGTGGCCAGAAAACAAGAATTATACATTATCTGCAAAGTTTACAGTCCACCTGGACCTTAAGAAAGATCACACTCATTTCACTAGTAAATCTCCATTAGACATAGTGTATCAAAGGCCACCTTATCACAAATGCATAAAGCTATTTTTAAAAATTTGTTGTTAGCACAATCTGGTTGTCAAAGCTTCATTATACATTTTACTATACAAATACTTTTCAGATGATTTTTTTTTTAAAAACAAGAAACTCCGCTAAAACAGAAACTTAGGTTAGAGTTCTTTATGATGGTACTTTCTCGGTCTCTTCTTTATTAAGTGTGGTTATCTCCAATAGTAAACAAGTTGATTTCATGAAGGCAGTTACTAAGTGATTTATGTATGATGTTATCTACAATTCGCAAACTGCAATAATACAGACTTGAACTTTTAAACAGTCTGTTAATCACCATCTATGCCACGAATGTTTAAATATAATATATATTTAATATGAAAAAGCTAAAGCACAAGTGCTTTCTCCCACCCTAAATTCTGTTTTGGGCCCTCACAGATTTGGAATGCATTCGTATCCAACCCTTTTTCACAAAGTCAGGAGAGCTCAGGAAATATAAAGTCAAAAATATACAAATCTTTTGTTGTTATTATAATAAGATTTTTTTTTTCCATGAATGAAATTACCAAGGACCATGGACTTGGAAAAAGAAAATCAAAAGGAATTTACAGCAATTATTTATCTTCAAAGTTCAAAACTGGTCACTTCACAGAAAGACTTCAGGGTTTGTTGAAATTTTTCTTCTAAAAAGTCATTCTGTAGTGGAGTTTTCTAGGAAAAATAAAACAACTTTCATTAACTGGCCCGCTGGTGTGAGAGCTACTGTGGAATAAATTAGCACAAAAATGGAAAAAAAGTCTTATAACTGTTCACTGTTACAGACATAATCAACAAGGTCAGTCACTCTCAAAAGCTCATCTTCTTCCTCTTCTGGTGCCCCTGCCTCCTGCCCACCACCTGTCCCATTGGGAGCCAGGCTTACACTGACTGTGCTGTTGTCCTTGGGGGTCTGAGGCTTCTCAGCTGGTTTGCCAATCAAGTTCTCAATGGCTTTGCCAGGGCTCTGTCCATTGGTAGAAGGTAAATCCACTAAGCTATAGTCCAATGGGCTCCCCACCTTGCCTACATTTTCAAAGTCCTCGTCCTCATCACTTTCTATTCGGTAGGGCTTCTTGGTGCTCTCTGGTTCTGAGGGCAAGGCCCTGGGCTGGCTCTCACGGGCAGGCTGATCTGCATCTCTGTGAGCATTGTCACAATTCTCCTCCTCATCAGTCTCAATCCGGTGTAGCCGTTTCCGGGATCGTTTGCCTTCATCTTCCTCCTCCTCATCCGCTTCTGAATACTCACCAGTGCTTCGGCCCCTCTTTCGAACGGACCGCTTTGATTCTTTAGTTAGCTCATCATCTTCAGAGTTCTTGGACATATAGCTCTCTAGAATAAATAGCACATTTAAGCCACTGACAGAATTAACCATAAACAGATTTAAGTAATTCTCCTTTTGCTCCCCATATCCACCCTACTTCTTGCTTCCAAGCTTTCTCATATATAAATATCTCGCTTTGATAATTCACCTATTTCATTCTTCAGTCCCACAATAATCCCCAATATGATTCAAAGTATCCTTTACCTATGATTTTAGGAAAGAGCAGAATCAGATTTCTTCCAGAAGAAATCTGATGATTCTTGAATTAAATGAAGATAGGTTGGTCACAAACTAAGAAAACTCCTTCCCAATAGCCCTACAAATTAAAAAATCATGTAAACATACTGACAAGGAAACATTAAAACTGGGCACCCAACTCTGGACATTTGAAACACTGTGCCAGCTCTCATCCCATGTGTGTGGCTTTCTTCTTTGTCTGTACTTATATCTTAGGTGATCTCACCAGTCTCATGGCTTTGTATACCATCTATATGATGCTGATTCCCAGATTTGTTTTTAGGCTACCCCTAAATTCTAGCCTTGTGGATCCAACTCAACATCTATACTTAGATATCTAAACAGGTACCTCAAACTTAATGTGTCTATAAAACTGAGCTCCTAATATTCCCCCTCAAACCTGTACCCTTCTGGTCTCTACCATCTTAGTTATTAACAGCTCCAATCTTCTAATTGCTCAGTTAACCTTGACCTGTAAACCCTGACCTGTTTCTTTCTCTCATCCAACCTAACAGTAAACTCTTTGGGTCTACTTTCAAGATATATCCATAATCAGACTACTTTTCACCCCTTTACTGCTACTGCCCTAGTCCCACCCACCAAGCTCTCACCTGGATTACTTCAGGACCTGCCCAACTAGCTTTTGCCCTTGACCCATTTGATCCATTCAAAACACAGATACCATAGCAAGTTAAAACATAAGCCAGATCATAACACCCTTTGCTCAAAACCCACCAACTGCTTCTCATTTCACACAGAATAAAATCCAAATTCTGTATAATGGCCTAATTTGTACTGTCCAATATGGTAGCCACTAGTCACATATTGCTGTTTAAAATATAAATTAATTCAAATAAAGAACTCAGTTCTTCATTTACACTAGTCACATTTCAGGTACGCAACAGCCACAAGAAGTTAGTGGCTACTGTATCAAACAGAACAGATGAAAGAATACGTCCATCATCACTGAAAGTTCGACTGGACACTGCTGCTTCTCATCAGGAAATGGCAAACTTATTCTGTAAAGGGCCAGATAGTAAATATTTTAGGTTTTGCAGGACATACAGTCTCAACATTGCCATTGTAGCATGAAAGCAGCCATAGATAATATGTAAATGAATGGATATGGAGTTATACCGATACAACTTTACTTACAAAAATAGGTGGGCTGTAGTTTGCTGACTGCTGCTTAACATGATCTGGCCCCTTTGATCTCTCTGCCCTCATCTCATACTATTCTTGCCCTTTCTCATTCTGCTCCAACCACCTGGCCTCCCTCTATTCCTTGAACGTGCCAGGCACAAACTTGCCTCAAGGCCTTCACATCTGTTGTTCCATTTGCCTGTGTCACTCTTCTTTAAGACAACTGCATGACTCACACCCAACATTTCCTTCAGGTCTTCAGTCAAATGTTGCTCCTGGTGAGGCATCTCACAGTACCCTATCTGAAATTCCAACTGCTCCCCAGCCCCCATTTTCTCTACTGCATTTCTCCATCTAATATATATTTGATTTGACGTATTATTGTCTCTCTTCCTCTAACTACAATAAAAGTTATATGAAACAGGAGATGTTTTTGGCTATTTTATTCATTGTCATATTCCCAAAATAAACCTGGTTCAATAAATATTTGTATTTAATAGTTGAATTAATAGATTTATGTTTGTCTTTATGATACATAAAGGCAAATACACACTCAACCAGATGTTCACCCCCCTTCTGTAGCCTTTCATATCCAAACATTTCTATCCCTTACACCCCTGGCTTGGTCTGAGAACTTAACTGACAAGGATCTATGAAAGCAAACAATCTTCAAAACAGATGGTAAATAATTAAGAATTAAGTATATGAAAAAGAAAGAGGAGAAGGTGAGGGTTGGGATAATTTAAAATGAACTCAAGAAGAGCGCTAGATTAACTAAAAAAGACTCGTTGGTATCACAAATTCCTATTTTAGCGCATTTCCTGCACTTCTGGTATAGGACACAGCTCAATCTATTAAGAGATAAAACAGTTACCAACTAAGCTCACAGGCAAGGTGGAGATAGTAAGATACATTTACTGGAACTGTTTAGCTATTCAGGCATAGGAATTTATTTCAAAATGAGGGCCATGAATAATAAAGGAAAAAAGAAAAGAGCAGGAGAACCCTTGCTCAGATCACATTCTTCATCTTCTAAGACTTCTTCTAGTTTGAGTGAAGAATCTACTTATTATAATGGAAACCTTAAAAATTAGTATCTTATTAAGTAGCATTTATTTAAACTATAATTAGTGACTAGGTACAGAATAAGGAGTTTTGCCTCAAAATTATTACTGATTACATTTGATTTTTAAGAAATAGTACAGAATCACAATCCTCAGCTCACTTTTTAAGTTTTTTTTTTCCTTGTCCAAACTTCTGTAAATGGGAGATCTATTCCTTACCTTCACTCTCTGAGCTGGAAAGCCTGCGTTTGTGAACTCGCCTTATTTCTTTGCCACGTCGGAAACTCTTCTGGGAACCATCACTTTCTGAATCTTCTTTGTAGTTAATTTGTCTTTTCTGGTTCCTCCTTGACCGCCTTCGCCGAGTTTCTATGAAATCATCACTAAAATCATCACTAAAATCACTTTCTGTTAAAAAAGGAAGGAAGAAGTGAAGTACAAAATTTAAGTCTATTAAGTAGAAGTACAAAATTTAAGTCTATTAAGTAGAAGTATGGCTACGTTAGGTTATAAAAATGAAAAGCTGCTAAACAGAGTTCAGTCACAAAAATTTTTAAATAAACAGTAACTTTCATCAGTCTCTTACTTTCGTTTTAATTAATATGAGTAATGACAAACCTCACAAATCTATGCTATTAACAGTCACTCTTCAATACGAAAAAATGTTTTATACTTTTTTAAAAATAATCTTTAACAGCACCCAACCTAGAGCTACCAGGTTAGCTCCAGAGATGCCAAGGCTGCCCTTCCTGGTGGAGAGCTGCTATTCTGTCTCCTGACAGTCTGCTGTTCCTACTTGTAGCTACAGTCATACCTTCATAATGGACCGCAGAGGTTAAACCCTCTAGCCACAGAAAACTGATGAGCCTGTTCCAAAGATACATAGAATTAGAGGTTTTTTGATTTTCTCTACGTGGAATGAAAATCTGCTAAATATAGCACACAGGGTTACTTATGCTCTCAGAGTGCTGCTATACAGCACTGCTCGTTATATCTGATCAAGAAAGAACTCATAGTTCTTTGGGTCAGAGCTGTTTTTCGAAAGTGCTAACAAAGTCCACTGAATTGTCACATCTCATCTTGTAGTTCTTTAGTGTATTTCATACATTTCAAAATGACTAGTCAACAGTTTGAAGGGGCTCCCTCTGGCCAAATCTGGAAATAATTGAGCCTAAATAGTGATGGTAACGGATTATATCCACTGAATAAATTAAGAACCTATGAACACATACTGATAAATAAGTAGATAAAGAGGGGAAAGCTCTTCCATACAGTAGACTACCAAGTAATAAATATTTAAAAAATGATGGGAGTTAGAAAATCATTAATGGATGTTAAAACTAGTGCTTGAAACGTGTGATGAGGAAGAGGATATTTACACAGTCTCAAAGTATCATACTACAAATTTCCTTATTAATTACAAAGGGAAAGATAGTACAGTGAACAGCCCTGGAAGACATAACATTACTTGTGATATTCTAGCCAAAGATGCATAACCTGAATCTAATCATGAGGAAACACAAAAACTGAACTTGAGGTACATTCTACAAAATAATTATTATGTATTCTTCAAGAATACCAAATCAAGAATGATAAAGTTTGAAGAACGTTCCAGAATAAAGGAGAATAAAGAGACATAAATAAATGCAATGTGTAATCCTGGATTAGATCGTGGCCTAGGAAAAGATTTAGGTATAAAGGACAATACTGGGATATGATGAAATTTGAATGTGTACTGCTGATTGGATAATAGTATTATATCAATGTTGCATTTTCTGATTTTAATAAGCATACTGTGGTTATGTAAGAGCATGTCCTTGTTTTTAGGAAATAAAAGGTCATGATGTCTCCCAACTTACCAAAAAGTTTAGAAAAAAATAAACAAAAGAAACTACAAGACAGGCCAGAGTCAGAGGTATAATATTTATGTCTGTGGTCCTTATCTAGTAAGATGACAGCTACCTATTGGCCAATTCCATAAAATACTCATATCTGTTCATTCAGCTATTGTACCCTCATTATTTATTCAGTTAATAAGGATAAGCATAAGCTATGATAACCTCAACTACTGCTTATTTATTAAAACCACTGACTCACTGATGGTGGTCTAATTATTAGAGATGATTGGTGATCCTTCTTTATCCAATAGCTGGGAATCTTAGAAAAATGGTCTTGGCTTACTGAGAATGATTCCCAAGAAACACCATAAAGTCTAGGCATGGAAACACTTGGCACAAAAAGGATTTATCACAATCCTAAATGAATCTGGTAAGAAGTTAACACATCTATCTATGTGTATTTTCTTAAATATGCTTTATCTGAAATATGCTTTTAGTTACTGGTAGGTGATAAGAATAGAACTCAAAACATTTTATCAGAAAACTTGCTTATTACGATTGAATGGAATTTTACTTTAAGAATTCTTAACTCCAGAAGTCGTAAGAATTGAGTTGGTGTGATGCAGATACAAGTTATTTTTACCTGAGTCTCTACTATTCTCTTCAGATTCCTCCTCTTCATCATCATCAGAGTACTTTTTCTTCGGGGTCTTTCTCCGCAAACGCCTGCTTTGCCTCATTGGCCGGGAGGGGTGTCGTCTCAGTCTACGGCTACAGAAATCAGCGTCGCTGTCATCATTAGATGGTGGATCTTCTTCACTTTCATCTGGGTTGTCATCAGACACAACAAACTCATCTTGAGATCTGTCCAAGAGAAACCCGATGAATTATGATGGTGCACTTGGAACCATGAATCCATTTTTGAGAGATCTGAGTTCAAGTTATAGCAAGTCCAGTGAATCATTAAGTAATGATTAGTGCAACATACTGGATAATTGCATCAATTTCCCTGTTTATAAAATGGAGAAATGTTTTCCCATCTAACTTTTTCTTAAGGGGTGTTATGAAGATGGATTGATGCTGATTGTTGTACATAAATTACTTTGGCCTCTTGGGATGTCCCCCAGGCACCTTAAAATCAAGATGTCCAAAAATGAATTCATTATTTCCCAACCTACTCTTCTCTTCTGTGTTCCTTAGTAACTCAAACCAACTACCTGGTATTTATCCTAATGTCTTCTCATTTCCCACATCTGATCAATTACTAATACCACCTGAGTCTATCTCTTAAAAATGATCCCCTCAGAGCTGATTCCTATTCTCTCTTCAGCTCTCATCTCGTAACTAAACAGCTATAGCAACTCCCCAAATGGTCTAATCTCTAGTCACAATTCCCCTCAATATTTCCTTCAAATGAATGCCAGGATAAATCTTTCTGAAACATAAATCTCACAATAGTCTGATGCTTAAAACCCTTTGGTGGTTTTTCATTATCTTCAAGATAAAGTCCATACACCTATGCGTAAGAAACAAAACACTCTATAATCAAATTCCCTTTTTTAAAAAATCTCTTGCCTATATCTCCAGCAGGGCACTTCCTAATTCATCCACAAATTCTTGCTATCCTGAGCCACAAGGAATTTCCCAAATATTCTATGGTGCTTTATGCCTTGCTGCCTTGGACATGGGAATTCTCTGCTTGGAATGTCTTCTTTCCTCATCCTACTTCTAATCCAAAACTCATCAACCTGCCCAGATATTCATTCTTCAAATTTCAGATCAAGCTTAATTCCACTGTGAGACTTTCCCTGATTTCCCTGGATTAAGCCAACTCTCCTCTGTACTCTGATTTATGCTTTACTATCCTTTAGTAACAATCATGCAACATGGCTCTTTTTGGTTTATATGATTGTTTCTTCTACTAACAATCTGAGAGGTGCAACTTTGCAGTATTGTTTCAACACCTGGTCTGCAGGCAAGCTTTGCCTAATCTCCCAGACAGGATTACTTGCCCCAACCCCAACCTCCATGGATCACTGGAGAATAGTTGTGAATCTAATTACTTGTCTATTTCTCACACTTGACTCAAACTCCTCATGAACATGGATGGTGTGTCAACTTTGTAGCTCAGAAAGTGGCACAAAGGAACATAAAAAGGCTCTCAACAAATGAAGGTTCAATTGCAGTTAACTGTATTTAAATACAATTTTGACTATTAAACAAGCAACCATAAACCTACTTTCTGTTTTAATCAAAAAAGGACCAAGATTAGCATTCTTAAATCTGCTTTAAATATTCTGAAAATAAAATAAACAAAGGTTGCTTATGTGCACATGCAACAAAAGCCCCATCACAGCACGACCAAGGCTCTCTCTGTTAGTCCTATATAAGGCTGCATCTAGGGAACAGGGTCTACTGGCAGACCACGCACCCATCACTGATCTTGAATTCATCCTCACTCTCTTCTTCATCCAGGTTGCTGTCACTGTCCAGATCATTTAGTCGCCGGCGTTTCTTCCGTCGAGCAGCAGCAGCCCTCTGGGGTCGTTTATTTTCTTTTCTTTCTTCCTCCAAAATAGTAGAGATGTCTTTCCCGCGGTGACCTGTGATGGTGGAGATATCTTTTCCTCGGCCAACTCCTGAGTTAGAGAGAAAAAGAAACTGTACATTCATTAAAAGCTTCCCTTTCATTTCTAGAGACTGTCGTTATTCTCTGTGTAGCAGCATTTCATCTGATTTTTCAATTTTCTTCCTACATATATGCAGTTTTCTCACAATTCAGCTGACAGAGTTCTCATCAAGAGAGTTTTAGCACTTCCATGTTCATTGCAGCATTGTTCACCTAGGTGCCCATCAACGGACAAATGGATGAACAAATTATGGTATATTCACACAATGGAATACTACGCAACGATAAAGAACAATGATGAAGCCGTAAAACATCTTATAACATTGAGGCATCTGGAGGGCATTATGCTGAGTGAATTTGGTCAGTCACAGAAGGACAAATATTGTATAAGACCACTATTATAAGAACTCAAGAAAAGGTTTAAACATAGAATAAAACATTCTTTGATGGTTACAAGGGTGGGGAAGGAGGGTAAGGGTTATTCACTAACTAGATAGTATACAAGAATTATCTTAGATGAAGGGAAGGATAGCACATACTACAGGGGAAGTCAGCACAACTGGACTAAACCAAAGCTAAGTTTCCTGAATACAAATCAAACACTTCGAGGGACAGAGTAGCAGGGGTGGGGGTCTGGGGACCGTAGTTTCAGAGGACATCTAGCTCAACTGCCATAACAAAGTTTATTAAGAAAATGTTCTGCATTCTACTTTGGTGAGCGGTGTCTGGGGTCTTAAAAGCTAGCAAGCAGCCATCTAAGATGCATCAACTGGTCCCAACCACCTGGAGTAAAGGAGAACGAAAAACACCATAGACATAAAGAAAGTATTAGCCCAAGAGACAGAAAGGGCCACAAAACACAGAGACTTCATCATCCTGAGACCAGAAGAACCAGATGGTGCCAGCTACCACCAATGACCGCCCTGATAGGTAACACAACAGAGAGTCCTGGATGGAGCAGGAGAAAGATGGGGTGCAGAACTCAAATTCTAGTAAAAAGACCAGACTTAATGGTCTGACTGAGACTGGAAGAACCCCAGAAAGCATGGCCCCCGGACTCTCTGTCAACCCAGCACTAAAACAATTCCCGAGGCCAACTCTTCAGACAAAGATTGGACTGGACTGTGGGACATAAAATGATACTTGTGAATACTGTGCTTCTTAGCTCAAGTAGATACATGAGACTAAATGGGCAGCTTCTGTCCAGAGGTGAGATGAGAAGGCAGAGAGGGTTAGGAGCTGGTTGAATGGACATGGGAAATCAGGGGTGGAAAGGAGGAGTGTGCTGTCACAGTACAGCGAGAGAAATTAGGGTCACATAACAATGTATGTATAAAATTTTTGTATGAGAAACTAACTTGAAATGTAAACTTTCACTTAAACTACAACAATAAACAAAAAATAAAAAAGGAATGTTTTAGCATTCATTTATCCTACTGAAAAGATGTTCACTATGTAGAGAATCTCTTCTTTTTTTAATTGAGGTAATTCACACACCATAATATTCACCCTTGTTAAGTGTACAATTCAGAGATTTTTAGTATTTTCACAAGTTGTACAACTATCACTACTAATTCCAGAACATCTTCATCACCCCAAAAAAGAAACTCCATACCCATTAGCAGTTACTCAAGAATCTCTTCTTGAAAACTGTCTTTTGGACATGGCTTTAGAAAGAATCCTCTCTCTCTCTCTCTCTCTCTCTCTCTATATATATATATATTTTTACTATTTGCAATTCAGAAAAAAATGAGAATTCAGCAGCAGAGATGCAAACAAGGCACACATCTAGTGAATCTTCAGTTGTACTACAACCTACTTACTATTAATCCTTCCCAGAGCATCTATAATAACTAAATAGAAACCACATGCTACACACTGGAGCACTGGTACTTGGCTATACAGATCTTTAATTACCTCAAATTCTATTTTAATGTCACCTTTAAAGATTAGGAAATTAAGAAATGGAGTTTTAAAAAATTAAATAAAAACAATCATTTATATTTTGATTATCCAAACATTTCAAAGCTTTGTAGCATTACTGATCTAAAAACAGTAGATAGCAGAAAAGTTTCACTTGATTTTCTATATGGAACCAGAAATAAATTTTTACCTATGGGGGAACATTTTTATTTTATATCAGACCATAAAACAAAACTACCTTTAAAAGAATTAGTAAGATCTGAGTCTACACGCAAACATTATTTTCACAGATTATTTTGGCTGGAGACAATATTAACAGTGCTTGTGATGTACATTGGGGAGGAGAATACAAAACATATGGTCACTGCCTTAATCAGGGCCTACCTTGCTGGCAGAGTTATATGAAGAAAAGAGAATGATAAATACATACCTCCTCCATCAGCTTCTTTGATATCATCTTCTATAGCTTCATCAATTGCTTCATCAAACTCATCAAATCTAAAATATACACAATATTCATGTTACAGCCTGTCCTGACCTATGGGTTAGGAGGGCCTCGATATGAAACAGCTCTCTGCCACTTCTGAACCGTATGACTTCACTACATCATCTCACTCATCTTAACATCAATTTCTTCTTTTGTAAAACAGGGTTTTGTAAATCAGTACCTAGTTCATAAACTGTTGTTTCTTTGCTTTTTTAAAGATCATCTATGCTAGGGGCCAGCAAAATTATTTTTTAAAGGGCAATACAGTGAATATTTTGGGCTCTGCAAACCATACAGTTTCTGTTGCAGCTCCTCAACTCTGCACAGTAGAGCTCAAGGAGCCATAGACAATACAGAAGCAAATGATCCTGGCTAGGTTTCAATAACATTTTATGGACACTGAAATGTAAATTTTATGGAATATTATTCTTCTTTTGATGTTTTTCAACCATTTAAAAATGTCAAAACCATTCTTAGGATATCGGCTGTACAGAAAACTAAGCTAGGTTGGATTTGCTATACAAATCATATAGCAAAGTAAAATATTAGTGTTCCACAAATAATACTATATACGAATTATATTATTATTGAAGATTGTATTATTATTACTCAGATCATATGCAAACGGTCAGAATTTTAGAACCAGAATAAATGCACTTTCTCTCTCAAGGACTCAGTTTTCTCCTACTGAAAGAAAAGGATCAAGACTACATGATTCCTAGGACGATTTCTTCACAAATAAAACTCCTTTCACTTTAAGGCTGAGGTGACCAAAGGGGTGAAGAGACTGGCCTAAGAGTGCTAAATATGGTAATTACTAGCAACATGTGGCTATTTCTATTTAAATTAGATAAAATTAAAATTCTCCTCCTCGTGAGCCATATCGGACAACACATAAATAGAACATTTCCATCATCATAGTAAATTCTATTGGACAATGTTGGATTAAGGTCACACAATGGATTAACAACAGAGTCAAGACTAAAATCCAAATTGGGAAACTCATTAAAGGTACGGACTTCCTCTCTAGGAAAATATACTTACCCAAAAAAACCCAAACCCATCACCACTGAGTTGATTCCAACTCATGGCGACCGTAGAGAACAGAGTAGAACTGCCCATAGGGTTTCCAAGAAGTGGCTGGTAGATTCGAATTGCTGACCTATGGTTAGCAGCCAAGCTCTTAACCACTACGCTACTAGGGCTCCTAGGGTGTATTATTAGAGGTCCGAGTAAAATGAAATCCTTGACAACTTCAATCTTTTCTCCATTTATCATGATGTTCCTTATTGGTCCAGTTGTACCCTTTCACCATACCTATTCAATCTATATGCTGAGCAAATAATCCAAAAAGCTGGACTATATGAAGAAGAATGGGGCATCAGGACTGGAGGAAGACTCGTTAACAACCTGCGATATGCAGATGACACAACCTTGCTTGCTGAAAGTGAAGAGGACTTGAAGCACTTACTGATGAAGATCAAAGACTACAGCCTTCACTATGGGTTACACCTCAACATAAAGAAAACAAAAACCCTCACAACTGGACCAATAAGCAACATCATGATAACATGGAAAAAAGACTGAAGTTGTCAAGGCTTTCATTTTACTTGGATCCACAAGCAACACCCATGCAAGCAGAAGTCAAGAAATCAAACAATGCATTGCACTGGGCAAATCTGCGGCAAAAGACCTTTTTCAAGTGTTAAAAAGCAAAGATGTCACTTTGAGGACTAAAGTGCACCTGACCCAAGCCATGGTATTTTCAATCGCCTCATATGCATGTGATAGCTGAACAATGAATAAGCAAGACCAAAGAAGAACTGATGCGTTTGAATTATGGTGTTGGTGAAGAATATTGAATATACCATGGACTGCCAGAAGAACGAACAAATCTGTCTTGGAAGAAGTACAGCCAGAATGCTCCTTAGAAGGGGGATGATGGCGAGACTTTGTCTTAGGTACTTTGGACATGTTATCAGGAGGGACCAGTCCCTGGAGGAGGACATCATGCTTGGTAAATTAGAGGGTCAGCGAAAAAGAAGAAGACCCTCAATGAGATGGACTGACACAGTGGCTGCAACAATGGGCTCTAACAGCAACGATTATGAGGATGTCACGAGACTGGGCAGTGTTCTGTTCTGTTGTACATGGGGTCGCTATGAGTCAGAACCAACTTGACAGCACCTAACAACAACAAAAACAACACAACAAGCAGCCTCAATTTACATTCCAGATGCTGACCTTCAGATAAGGTATTTCTGAACACAACACTCCACTTCAGATAAGGGGTTTCTGAACACAACACTTTACATCTGTCTTCTTGCTGCTAAGTGCCAATGAGTCAATTCAACTCAGAGCGACCCTATGTGACAAAGTAGAACTGCCCCATGGGGTGTCTTAGGCTATAATCTTTATGCGTGCAGATTGCCAAGTATTCTCTCCTGCAGGGAAGCTGGGTAGATTCGAACTGCCGACCTCGGTTAGCAGCCAAGAGCTTAACCACTGTGCCACCAGGGCTCCTACAGCTATCCTAACTTTACTGTTTCTAAGGAAACAGGACCCTGAGTCTACTTTGCAGTCCAGACCTAATACTGACCCATTTACAGAGCTCTGCTTTACTTTGAGCCTATCAAAACACTGTTTGATTTAAATTTCACCTAATGTACATCCTTCCTCAGAATCCTACAATAACTCTACCTTTCTCCTTAGTTTGGTGAGACACTCCATAGTTCCTCTGTGAGGTTTTGTTACACTACGGGATTGTATTTGGTGTTCTTACTACAAGGGAAATTGACTTAAAAGCCATTCAAAATTTTAAGATACAAATTATTCTTCAAAGGGTTGTACCAATTTATAATTCAACTATGAAGTAAATTTCATCATTTTTTTTCCCCTAACTGGAAGAGTTATTTTCTTGCTCGTTTAGTTTTCATCTGATTACTAATGCCAAATATTATTTTCATGTATATTGGTCATTTTTACTTTTTCTTTTGTAAAGTACTAGTTTGTATTCTTTGCCCCCTTTTCTTTTTTCTTTTTTTTGGCCAGTGTGTTCACCTTTTCTTATTGGTTTGTAAGAGCTTTTTACTTATTAAAGATTTGTCATGTTGTTATTTCTTTCCAATGTGTGTTCCCTTTTAAACTTTGCTTATTTTTTTTAAGTTTTGAGAAAGCAAAATTGACATCTTGCTCTGTTACAATTATGAAGTATTCCTATCATGTCTCCAGTCAGTCTCCCTCCCTCGAGATAAACAAAGTCACCCTGTCTAGTTCTAGTCTCCAAAATAAATGAACCCTGAAATGTCCCATGAGCAACTGATTCTCTAACAAAACACCAGCTTTATCCTTGACTTCTAAAATATTAGTGCCTGAAGATATATAAAAACCTCTGCAGACAGCATGTGAAAAACTGCTATATTTCCACAATGAATAAACTATACTTATTACATTTTTTAAAAATTCATTCCTTCTGAATTCTAACTCCTTTACAAAACTTCTTTGCAAACAAATATTTTCTTTTGTAAATGCTTTGAGTCTTAACAATTTTTAATTTTTAGGTAATTAAATATCTTTTCCATTATTGTTTCTGCTTTTGGTGTTATGCTTAAAAAGGCTGCTCATCACACTAAGATCATACATCTTCCTTAATCATTCTTGGGAACAGGGTGAGGTATAAATAAATAGATCACACTAAAAAACACAGTTTACCATAAGTTTCTATATTAATGTTATATACAATTTTACAGCTGAGACGGATCTTAGCAATCATCTGGGTTAATCCACCATCACAGATGAGACAACCAAGACCCAGGAAATGCACCACTCAAAGATACATGGCTAGTAAGTGGCAAGCCAAGACTATAATCTTAGTCTTCTGACTCCCAATCCAATGCTCCCTCTAGTAAACTCAGATGTCACCCTCTCCGTTAGAAGAAATAAAAATCTAATGAAGAATTATTAAATGATAGTAAATCTCTGATTTTTTTAATAACCACAATTACATCAGGACTGAAAGACAATACAATTAGTCCTATTATAATGCTTGTTTTGAAAACTAAAATTTGTTCTAATATGACTGATGTATCAGGAAACAATTTGAGGATAATGTATATTGCACACTTGCTCATGTGTGATTTCATTCATGAGAAACACTAGGTGAACACAGAAAACTACCTGGTTGAACTGAGCTGCATACAAACACACAAATGCACATACACCTCTAATATCCACTAGATACTTTAGTTCACCATGTGCATTATGAGGCACACACATCCACATTTGGTGTTAGAACTTTCTGTCTGATTTCAGATAACCCTCCTACCAACCTCACAATAACTTACAACCGAAACCTTCCTTACACTCATGTCCACAGGCAAATTTCAGGTCTTTTACAAGGTAAAATGCCATAGTTACTGTAGTATTTATGTATTTCTTAACCATTTCACATGTGTCAAACAGCACAACCATTTTTATTAGGCTCCTATCTTTTATTCTTAATGCGTCATTAATGCAGTTTTTGAGTGTTGTGGCCCTAACTTCATATTTCCCATAACCCCTATGGTTTTTACTGCATGATTTTTGCATAGCACGGTGATATTTAGGGGCACAAATATAGTTTTATAATAGAACTGACGGTACACTTGCACTTTCCATCTGAAAGGCTTTAACTTTATTAGTTATGATTGGTTTTATATAGAATGGTACTTGTTATTTTTTCAAAGTTCTTTTTCTAAAGAATAAGACGGACAGTGTTTCCACATATATTACTGTCCTACTGCATTTTATAAAGTTTTAACAACAACAGCAGCAGCAGTAAACTATATACAGGGAACTTTTCCATGAACACTGGACAAGAAGCAACCTAAAGATTGAGAGCTCTATAAAATCAGCTTAGATTTTCATCTCCACTTATTCAAGTTAAAAGGCTGTTTTGGTGTTGTCCAAGTAGATTTTAGAGACTACAGACCAAACAGTGTTCTAAAATAATTTAAATGTAATTTATTTATTATCTGAGTGAGACAGGGTGGTTTAGTGGAAAGAATGCTAGACTAGCAATCAATCAGAAGATAAGGTTTTAGTCCAGGATTAGCTACTAACAGAACGACCATGGAAAAATCTCTGGTACCTTTAGTGGCAGAAGGTAAACCAGATTTTATTTACTGATTCTTTCAGTAGGCATTTATGGAGCACATACTACTTGTCAGCACTATGCTAGGTGGAGGGGACATGAGGATATGTAAAACATATGGCCCTTATCTTCATGCTAACAGTCTAGTGCGCAAGAAAAACAATCAAATAATTATAATCACACATATTACAACTATAAGCGCTTTCAAGGACAGGAACTGGCTGATACGAGGGCATATAATAGGGGGATTTGATCTAGAGGAGGTTGTTGTTGTTAGTTGTCTTCAAGTTGATTTCGACTCATGGTAACCCACGCGTGCAGAGTAGAACTGCTTCATAGGGTTTTCAAGGCTGTGGCCTGTCTTCCGAGATGCCTCTGGGTGGGTTCAAAATGCCAACCTTTTGGCTAGTAGTCAAATACTTAACTGTCTGCACCACCCAGGGCCTCAAGATGAAAATGGGAGTGAACTTCCAGGCAGAGTAAAGAATATGTGCAAAGGGATTGGGACTGAAAAAAGACAATTGTGGCTAGTACAAAGAGAGTAAGGGGAAATGTGGATGTGAAGCAGCTTGAAAGGTGAGAGAGATCAGATTATACAGAGCCTTACTCATCTTGTTTAAGTCATCAATTCTTATCCTGAGAGCTATGGGAATCTTGGTAAAGTATATCTTAAGGTATGTTAAGCAGAAGAGGTTGACAGGAGCAGATTTACATTTGGAAAAGATTGTGCTGGCTGCTCTAAATTTCTATGACTTTAAAGACATAAGAGAAGAAATATATATACAATTGCTGATGATCATTGTGATGGGAAAAGCATATACTTCTAGGTCATGCTGTCTGATTTTAAAAACACTATACCCTTTCACTGTAGCCATTTCCATATATTTCATACCTGTAACTTATACACTTCCGTGTTCTTGTTGATCTCCTTTCAAGCAAGTTTGCTTTGGATTTTTTTGAATCTTTTTTCTTCTCTTCTTGGTCTTCAGAAAAATCTGGCTCCTGGTTTAAAAATATGACAGTAAGTATATAGGTTATTACTCATGACAGAACAAAATTTCCTGAAATTATTAGTTTTCTAATTGCCATCTAGGCAGCACATGCGAAAAGTTTGAAAAGGATGAGACAATCCCCCAAAACAGAATAAATACGGTAACATGAAGTATACAGTTTAAAGAGAATACTGGTGATCAATGGATGAAACACTTCTGTATTAAAATTCTTACACTTCTGTGAGATTATAATTACATCTTTTAGAACAACCACAATGTTTTCCCATCAACATATCTTTTTAACAAATAATTAAACTTAACACACAGTAGAGGATATTCAATAGATAAGCTGAATGAATGAAAAAAATGGATTTAAAAGGAGAAACAGATAAAATACTGAAGGAAGATAACTAAACAAGACAGGCTATTGAAGGTTATGAATTAAATCTGAATGAAACTGCTTATGAAACTAAGAGAATCTCTTAATTTCAAATGAAAAGCATGTTACATGATGAAGTAACCTTCTTAGTTATAAACTAGAGTAATAAATGCAACAAAGTGATATCCCTTCAAAGAAACCAAACCGTGAATAACAACGTAAGTTGAACTTTCTGTTTTCCTCCAAAAGCAGGGAATTAAAAATCAGAAATCTCTCTAAAATATTCTTTAGTTATTTTACATAAACAGCACATAAAAAGGCTAAACACAAATTATTCAATTTAGTGTAATAAAAATGAAACATATATTCCCCAAAGGTATACCAACTATAAATTTGGTTTGGATATGATATCACATTTTTGGGCTATCTATATATACATTATACACATCATTTATATATACACATTATTTCAATCACAGAGGGTTTATGGGTTATTTTTTTTCCTTTTAAGGTCCTGAATTTTCATTTTCAATAAAACAGGTGTCTTAGTTATCTAGTGCTGCTATAACAGAAATACCACAAGTGGGTGGCTTTAACAAACAGAAATTTATTTTCTCACAGTTTAGGAGGCTAGAAGTCAGAATACATGATGCTGAGTTTAGGAGGCTAGAAGTCAGAATACACTGTGCTGGCTCTAGGGGAAGGCTTTCTCTCTCTGTTGGCTATAGAGGAGGAAGGTCCTTGTCTCTCTGACCTTCTGTTTCTGGGTGATCTTCCCCCATCTCTACTTCTCTCATGATTGTTTAATCTCTTTTGTATCTCAAAAGAGATTGACTCAAGAATACACCCTACACTAATCCTGTATGATTAACATAGCAAAGACAACTCATTCCCAAATGGGATTATAACCACAGGTATACAGATTAGGATTTATAACACATTTTTTTGGGACACAATTCAATCCATAACAACAGGTATATTACATATTTAAAACTACTCACATTACATAATGTGGGTTAAATTTTAGAATAATTAAGATAGTCTCCCCTTTAAAAATACTGCAAACCAGAAACTTACTTGTGGAGGAATGATGTTTTCAATACTGATACCCACATACACCAAACGTTCTTTCCTTTAGGTGAAAAATAACAAACACACAAAATGAGATATGCTAAAAATTAAATTGTTATGAAATATCACTAGTTTGGCCAATACTAAACTTAGGATTTCTTGGTAATAACAGAGACTGGAGCACAGACATATTGGCTATAATCTTAAAAACTTAATATAGTATTGTTATCTCCATGGGAGGCACAACATTTCCTGAAGGTTTGAAAAGTATGGCTTTAGAAGTGATTTATGCAAGTGAAATAAAACCTGTAACTGAAAAAGACAAAGCAGCTTCATGAGAAGAGTCATGCTGTGACTCACTGATGATCTGATTAGATGGAAAGCCACCTTTAACAGGACAAACTAGATCTTTGTCATGTTGGAAGTTTTCCATAATTATGTGCGTGTATACATAGGTATAATCTCATAATAATAAGTATCACTATATAAAAAAAAAAATCCGTGTAACAAAACCATATCAAGATCCCAGCAAATGACACTAAGACCATTCACTTCTTGCTCTAGAAAAGAATAAAAGTAAGACAGTCATCTGGCTCTGCACTCAAGGATATCATGCTGAAGATAACTTTAGGGCCAGCTGAGACTTCTGCATGAAATGAAGAATCTGGACCATTAATGACATCTCTGTAGTTTCATTTCCAAGAAACAAATCTTTGTTGATTTTAATTAAACACATTTTACATAACAAATAGCTATAAGAAACAAGGATATATTCAATTTGGCAAGGACAGCTGAACTCTTACATGGCATGTATGTTAAACTGAACTGAAACTAACCACTCTTCTTCCCTTTACCAGTACCATCCTTTATAGAAGGACATTAATGGATCCAGTTCGCTAGGTCCTTTAGAGTGCATCCTTTATTGCCAAGTTTAGCTTATAGACCCTTGGCCCTGCTAACAAGAATTTTATGCTCTTTTTATACACAAGATATGAAGGTATTAAATAAAAGTTGATATATAAGAAAATTATTAAGCAATTTAAATCAAAACCAGATAAAAATATAGTACAGTTAATGAACTAAAAACTAGGAAAGGCAAGATCAACACTATCTAGAATTAACAGGGAAGCCTTCATGGATGGGTATGTTAGAACCTGAGCTATCTGTTATTAAATATGTTTGACACCTGGGTGCCCTTCTAATAATGAAGTTTACTGAGATATCAGTTTCCTCCTTTCTACCTGAAAATTTTTACTTTCACTTGGCCACTACTTCTCTGTTTAATTCAATTTGACAAACATTTGTTCACTTTTACCATATTAGGTCAGGATTTATGTCAGACTTGAGAATCCAAAGGCGAATAAGACATAGTGCCTGCCCTCACAATTATTTAACAACTGACTATAGTCCATTATGAACAGGCATCATGGAAACATGGAAAAGGAACAGATTAATTTTTGTTTGAAGAGCTGAGAAATCTGAGAAGACTATAAATAAATGGTAACATTTGAGAAGCATCTTGAAGACATCATTGTCTTTTTCAATAATTTTCCTGATCTATATGTTCTGTTATGGAAACTTTCCAACTTCCATTCCATCTCACCACCTAGCTCAATGATCATGTTTGGCCTAGATCTATCACTATCAAAAATTAAACGCCTTCTAAAATTTTAATTCCAAGCAACCTATTCTCTGACTTCCACTGTCTTTCCAGCGCACTCCCTCTGGTACACTAACTCCAGCAATTCACCAACTCCACTAGGACTTTATCCAATTACCCTGCCCCCTTTTCACTGTCAATCACCCCCTTCATGTCCTTACTGTCCTCCTTATTTGATTTCGACTCCATGGTCCGTCATCATAACCATCTCTGATTAAATCCAATTCTCTGCTAGCAAAACACTATTAATAGCATTTTGGAAGTATAAGGCTGTTCAAATTCCCAAATAATTTCTGCCACCAAGTGCTGGAGGAGACATTTACAAATCAGAAGTTGAATGAACTTCTGAAATATCAGATTTCATAGAGCATCACAGCTCCAGGTCTGTAAACAGTTGTTGGTTAGTCACTGATTACTGAGTGACACACCCCTCTTCTCTACCAGACTGTACAGCCCTTGAAGGTTGTTGTTGTTGTAGTCAGTTGCTGTCGATTCTGACTCATGGCAACCCTTTGTGTGGAGAGTAGAACTGATCCATAGGGTTTTCAAGGCTGTGATCTTTCGGAAGCAGATTGCCTGGCCTGTCTTCCACTGTGCATCTAACCGTTTACGCCATCCAGAGACTCCACTGAAAACCGTACAGAGTGCAGTTCTACTCTGATACAAATGGGGTCACCCTGATTCGGAATTGACTCAATAGCAATGGGTAGTAGTCAAAAACTTTCCACTAGTCTTTTCCACATACAAATGGCATAAGCAACATGAGCTTTCAAAGAATATGCAAACATAATGTGAAGTATCAGACAAAATTCTTAGTGGTTTACATCCTTGGCCTTTAGAGAATAAATACATTTTCTTTAAAGCCCTTAACGGGTGAGACTATTAGATATCTACATAGCTGGGTAAAATCAGCTTTAGGACATGGGAAAACTACTCATTTTTCAGGAGGACAGATAGATTTCAGAAAGATTGAAGTAAAAAAAAAATCTTAGTTTTTAAGTGTGATTTACCTTGAAGCATCTTTAGTTAGATTGTTCACAGTATCAAAATTAAAAACAGCAGAAACTCTGCACATCAAAACAGTCCTACTAATTCTAAACAGGCATACCTCATTTTATTGAGCTTTGATTTATTGCACTTTGCAGATACTGCGTTTTTGACAAACTGAAGTTTTGTGGCAACCCTGCATCGAGCAAGTCTATGGGCGCCATTTTTCAAACAGTATGTGCTCACTTTGTGTCTCTGTGTCACATTTTGGTAATTCTCACAATATTTCAAACCTTTTCATTATTATGATCTCTGTTATGTGATCTGTGATCAGTAATCTTTGATGTTACTATTGTAATTATTTTGGGATGCCACGAACTGTACCCATAAAAGATGGCAAACTTAATTGATAAATGTTGTCAGTGTTCTCATAAAAAGACCAGACTTAATGGTCTGACTGAGACTAGAGGAACCCCTGAAGATATTGCCCTCAGGCTCTCTGTTAACCCAAAACTAAAACAATTCCTGAAGCCAACTCTTCAGACAAACATTAGACTGGACTATAAAAATAATACTCATGAAGAGTGTGCTCCTTAAAATAGATACAAGAGACTAAACGGGCAGCTTCTGTTCGGAGGCAAGATGAGAAGGCAGAAAGGCATAGGAGCTGGCTGAATGGACACAGGAAAGCCGGGGTGCAAAGGGGGAGTGTACTGTCACATTACAGGTATTGCAACTTGGGTCGCATAACAGTATGTGTATAAATTTTTTTATGAGAAATTAACTTAAGCTGTAAACTTTCACCTAAAGCGCATGTGCGCGCGCACACACACACACACACACACAAAACAGACCAAAAAAGAAAAAAAAAATGTTGTGAGTGTTATGACTGCTCCACTGACTGGCTATTTCCCTGTCTCTCTCCCTCTCCTTGGGCCTCTCTATTCCTTGAGACATTACAATATTGAAATTAGGCCAATTAATAACCCTACAGTGGCCTGTAAGTGTTAAGTGAAAGGAAGAGTCGCATGTCTCTCACTTTAAATCAAAAGCTAGAAATGATTAAGCTTAGTGAGGAAGGCACGATGCAAGATGAGACAGGCCGAAAGTTAGGCCTCTTGGGCCAAATAGTTAGGCAAGTTGTGAATGCAAAGAAAAGTTCTTGAAGGAAATTAAAAGTGCTACTCCAGTGAACACACGAATGATAAAAAAGTTAAACAGCCATACTGCTGATATGGAGAAAGTTTTAGTGGTCTGGATAGAAGATCAAACCAGCCACAACATTCCCTTAAGCCAAAGCCTAATCCAGAGCAAGGCCTTAATTCTTTTCAATTCTGTGAAGGCTGAGAGAGGTAAGGAAGCTGCAGAAGAAAAGTCTGAAGCTAGCAGAGGTTGGTTCATGAGGTTTAAGGAAAGAAGTTGTCTCCATAACATAAAAGTGCAAAGTGAAGAAGCAAGTGCTGATGTACAAGTGGTAGCAAGTTATTCAGGAGATCTAGCTAATTGATGAAGGTGGCTACACTAAGTAACAGATTTTCATTGTAGACGAAATGGCCTTATATTAGAAGAAGATGCCATCTAAGACTTTCATAGCTAGAGGGAAGTCAATGCTTGGCTTTAAAGCTTCAAAGGACAGGCTGACTCTCTTGCTAGGGGCTAATGCAGCTGGTGACTTTATGTAGAAGCTAATGCTCATTTACTATTCGAAAAATCCTAGGGCCCTTAAGAATTATGTTAAATCTACTCTGCCTGTGCTCTATAAATGGAACAAAGCCTGCATGGTAGCATATCTGTTTACAACATTGTTTACTCAATATTTTAAGCCCACTGTTGAGATGTGCTGTTCAGAAAAAGATTCCTTTTAAAATATTACTGCTCATTGCCAATGCACCTGGTCACCCAAGAGCTCTGATGGAGATGTACAAGATTAATGTTGTTTTCATGCCTGCTAACACAATATCCATTCTGCAGCTCATGGATCAAGGAGCAATTTTGACTTTCAAGTGTTATTATTTAAAAAATGCATTTTGTAAGGCTATAGCTGCAATAAATAACGATTTCTATGATGGATCTGGGCAAAGTAAACCGAAAACCTTCTGGAAAGGATTCACAACTGTAGACGCCATTAAGAACATTCGTGATTCATGGGAGGAGGTCAAAATATCAACATTAAGATGAGTTGGGAAGAAGTGGATTCCAACCCTCATGGACAACTTTGAGGAGTTAAAGACTTCAGTGGAGAAAATAACTGCAGATGTGGCGAAAATACCAAGAGAATTAGAATTAGAAGTAGAGCCTGAAGATGTGACTGTATTGCTTCAATCTCATGATAAAACTTTGAATGGATGAGGAGTTGCTTCTTAAGGATGAGCGAAGAAAGTGGTTTCTTGAGATGGAATCACCCCTGGTGAAAATGCTGTCAACATTGTTGAAATGACAATAAAGTATTTAGAATATTACATAAACTTAGTTGATAAAGCAGTGTCAGGGTTTGAGAGGATTGACTCCAGTTGTAAAAGAAGTTCTACTGTGGGCAGAATGCTACCAAACAGCATTGCATGCTACAGAGAAATCTTCTGAGAAAGGGAAGAGTCAACCAACGCAGCAAACTTCATTGTTGTCTTATTTTAAGAAATTGCCACAGCCACCCTAAACCTTCAGTAACCAACATCCTGATCAGTCAGCAGCCATCAACATCAAGGCAAGACCATCCACTAGCAAAAAGATTACAACTTGCTGAAGGCTCAGATGATGGTTAGTATTTTTTAGCTATCAAGTATTTTTTAACTAAGGTATGTACATTGTTTTTTTAGACATAATGCTACTGCACACTTAATAGATTACAGTATACTGTAAACTTTTATATGCACTGGGAAACAAAAAAATTCGAGTAACTCCCTTTATTGCGATTTTCACATTTATTGTGGTGATGTGGAATCGAACTCCCAGTATCTCCGAGGTATGCCTATACAGGATTGTTCTTTTTTTTAAACGTCCTTGGAAGATATCCCAAATATTTAAGACACAAGTTGTTTCCTAGAAATAACCCAGGATTTCTAAATACAAAGATATTTAGACATCTGATTTAAAAAACTAAGTTGTATCTCCTAATTAATTTTAGAGGTTACTTTGCCTTTAAACTATGAAGCATCTCTAAGCCAGAGCTCAAACTGAGCAGTAAAAAAAAAATATCCCAAAAAAACAGGTTCTGAATCTATTTTTAATGCTCACCATTACACAGGGTAAAGTGAGTGGATTATGGAATGAGCTGACTGCCTTAAGGCAAGCTAAATTCTGGGGGCCAGACTATGCACCAGAGGGCAAAAGTTAACCCTTTTGTGCTCACGGGTCCCTCTAGGGACCAAGTACTTTTTCTGCCTCTGAAGATTTATTGGGAAGCTGTTGCACCACTGACAACGTGTCCTGCTGCAAGGCAGGGGCGCTTATGACACTTTGAAACCAAAGAAACAGGCATGTGCCACAAATTACTGTTTTTAAAGGGTATTGTATGAGGTATCTGAATTTTTAGCAGGAAAAACAGAAATTTTGAAAATTTTTACTTGTTATGCATATGAACCAACGGACCCTGGTGGGGACTCTGGGGATATAATTAGTGGTACTTCATATATACTACTAAACACTTAGGGTAGGCTTGTGGAAGGAGGGAAAGAAAAAAAAAAATCCATACTACCTACCAAAAATTCAGACACACTAAATGATTCAACTTGCTTCCATTAATGAAAACACATGGTATCAACAAAAATGCAAAGCAGAAAATAATTAGTTCAGAAAAGGGTTAAAGAAGTAGCAAATAAGGTAATGAAGATAACAGGACCCATCAGGAGACAATGATTTTCTCCTACTACGCTACTGAACAAATGGGCATCAAGTCCCACTGATTAGTCCTTTGAAAATTCTCTCCAATATCTCCACCGTATTATCACTATGATTACCCTTGTTCAGGCCTCATCAGTGCTCACAGACTCTTTACTGCAACAGCCCCAAATTCCAAATTGATTAGGGAAAAAAATAGAGGAGTTGCTAGTTCCTTCTCCTTATTGTTACCACATCAATTTTTCTGAAATAAAGATCTGACTATTCATGTCCATTCTCTGATGGCGCCCCACTGCCTATAGAGAATAATTCAAATTCCCTAGCCTGGTATGCAAAGCTGTTCACAATTCGGCCTCAACCTGTTTTTATAGCTTCGTCTCCTACCACTTGTCTACTCTCACTTTTACGTTTTGATTTTGCTAACACTTGTGCTCTCTGCCTGAAAGGTCCTTTCTCTGCATATTTACCTGTATAATCTCTACTTTTTTAGGTCTTCCCTGGTAACCCCAACCGCTAACAAAAACCAAAAACCCGTTGCCATTAAGCTGATTCCGACTCACAGAGACCCTATAGGACAGAGTAGAACTGCTCTATGGGGTTTCCAAGGAGCGCTTCGTGGATTTGAACTGCTGACCTTGCGGTTAGCAGCCAAACTCTTAACCGCTACGCCACCAGGGTTTCCACCCCAACCCCTAGAAGAACTAAAATGTCCCTCCACAAAATTTTTGTATTGCCTTGAATACATCTCATTTATTCTAAGTATTTATACATGAGTTTCTCTGAGAGAATGTGAGCTCCATGTAAGCAACAGCTTCGTCTTACTTATCTTTTCAGTTTTGTACACAGCAGGTGAGAATTAAAGTTTACTGACGAATTAATCAAAGAAGATACAAATAAATAAAACTTACTGTCTTGATTTTGAGCCGCATTTTAAAGATTAGGCTCAACTCCAGTCTCACCTCCTCCAAGAAGCCTTCTCCAACTACATCAGACCACACTACAGTAGCACACTGAACAGAGAGGCATCCCTTCACCAGTGTTAATTCTGCCCACCCGAGGGGATGACATGGGTAACTAAGTCGTAGACCAGCTTTTATAGTTTTCTTGTAGTCTGTACAATAATTAGCTAAGTACATATCCTCCACAATACTTAGGTCAGTATTTATTTAGAGTAGGTTCCAATAAATAATTTACATCAGAGGTTGGCAAACTTTTCCCGTAAAGGGACAGATAATAAATATTTAAGGATTGGCAGGTTATAAGGTCTCCACTGGAACTAATCAATTCTGCCGTTTTAGCACAAAAACAAATATAGACAACACATAAATGAAAGAGTATGGCTGTGTTCAAATTAAACTTTATTTACGAACAATGAAATCTGAATATCACATCATTTTCATGTCATAAAATATTACTTTTGTTTTGATTTTTTAAAATCATTTAAAAACATAAAAACCATTCTTAGTTTGTGGGCCACACAAAAACAAGCATTTGGCCCACAGGTCATAGTTTGCCAACCCCTGGTTTAGATGGACATATTAATCTGTGTTTCAAGAAAATTCTGCTGTCAGATTTTGCTGTCAAACACTAACAACACATATGGCAATACCTTCGTTCAGCACGTTCCTTCTTCTTTAAGGCAACATCCAAATCTTGCAACTGTTCCTCTAATTTCTCACACAGCAATTTCTGAAGGAACAAAACAGATGTCATATCCTTATGAATAAACACCTCTCCAAAATCATTTATCACTTGCATGTTAAACTCATGGATATTTTACTCACTATATCATGGATAAGAGGTGACACAGTGAGTAAACATTTAAGTTTTCCTTGCGTTTAATTAAAAAGGAGGCTCAGCATCCACTGAACAAAAGATGAGCATACGATTTTTGAAATAAAGCACGTTAGAAAAACCTATAGTCTTACCAAAAAAACATATTCTGTGCCTATACTACTGGCACTAATTAATGTTTAAAATAGCATTTGGTTCAACATGTATATGTAACAGTGACTATAATTAAAATAAAAAGTATTCCAAGATATTTTTAAGGAAGAAAGTTATATGTACAGTAAAATATAATGGTGCCAATTAACTATTTTTTTTTTAATTGTACTTCAGGTGAAGGTTTACAGAACAAATAGTTTCTCATGAAATAGTAGTACACATATTGTTTTATGACATTGGTTAACAACCCCACAACATGTCAACTCTCTCCCTTCTTGACTTTTTTTTTTTTGGTGAAAATATACATAGCCAAAGATACACCATTTCAAAAATTTCTACATGCACAGTTCAGTGACATCGACTACGCTCTTCCAATTGTGCTGCAATTCTCACTTTGGATGAAGGCTTACAGAACAAAATAGTTCCTCATTTAACAGTTAATACACATGTTGCCCTATAACAATGGTTAATGACCTCTCAACACATCAACACTATCCTTACTCAACCTTGGGTTCCCCATCACCAGCTTTCCTGTCCCCTTCTGCCTTCTGGCCCTTGTCCCTGGACTGCTGTGCCTCATTAGTCCCATTTGGAAAAAGAGAATGGAAAAAAAAATTACAGAACACCACTACATGATTACTAGGTCAAAACAGACCCGAACAAAGTAATTGATAAAGCTATGCTGAGCTACAGAAGTTGACTTCATTGAGAAATGCATAAAATCTATTATCCTGAAAGAAAAATTGATATGTGAGACTAGGCTTAGTGAGAGAAACTACTCCATGGGTGCTATGGCAGACACATCCTGTTCTTCAACTTTCAAAAGAAACTCACCTAAATCAAAATATAAGAGAAATATAATCTGTATTTCTCCTAAACCTGGTAATATCACCTATAACACTACTGATAAAAACAAGGTAGGCAGAAACAAAAAAGAAGATGAAACAAGGGGATAAACAACAGGAAAAACTTATTTCTTCCCTTGCTTGTAACTGAACTTGTTTGTGTCTATAACAAATGTGAGAAAAAATAAACCACTGATTACAGTTTTACAAAAATTGGAGGGCTTCTGAAAATTGTTTTGGAAAAAAAGACCTAAAATATATTATTAAGATAGCTTTTTTGATTGTCTCTAATTTCAAAGAAATATAAACAAGAGGTAAGTACTATTTACAAATTACTTTGAAGATTAAAGATGTTTGCTGGCTGCCAAGAAGTATTATTAATTTCAATATAAAATCAAGGACAATTTATTAAAAAAAAAACAGAGGTGGGCTGGGTCATACATGTTGGCAAGGTGGGCAAAACCATTCTCCATCGGGGATGATCATCAGAGGAGGGCGAAGGCAGGCGGTATGGTATCCACTGTCACAAGAGTCACACAGAAGAATCTGAAATAAACCACAGATTAATGTCAACCTAATACTATGACTAAAATTCAGCAACTTTTTAAGTTAAAATGACAACAGTTCAATAATTTTTAGTAATACACTGCAAAACTCTTTGTTCGCATAAAGCATTATAATAAAAAAATGCACTGGTAATCTGACATACCATCTTTAAAAAAATATTTTAAGAAAAATCTCTAAGAAAAGGTTAAGTTCCAAATGTTCATGACAAATATACATGCAGCACATACAAATATATATAGAAATATCCACAACCAAACCTATATATGCATTTGGGTGTACTACCATATGCCCTCTCACATCTATTCAGCATACATATCTGCTTATGTATCCACTCAGAAATTACTGTTTATTACTGTTATTGAGGACTGTACATGTTATAGTTTTTACCATTGTCACCTTTTATTCTTGTGTGCCTCTCAGTGTCTTCTCTTGCCTTAGTCATGCTGTGCTAACTTTTGGGTACTGCCTTTCCCTTCATCAAAGTTATTTTCCCTCCCTCCCCATCCCATCCCTGGCAACCATCAAAAAATGTTTCTTTTTGTGTGTAAACTTTTTCTTAACTGTTTATAATAGTGGACTCATACAGTATTTGTTCTTTTGTTATTGACTTATTTCACGCGGCATAATGTCTTCCAGATTCATCCATGTTGTGAGATGTTTCACGGATTCATCATTATTTTTTATTGTTGTGCAGTATTTCCATTCTGTGTATGTAACACGGTTTGTTTATCCACTCATCCATTAATGGGCAGTGAGGTTGTTTCCATCTTTTTGCAATTGTGAATAATGCTGCAATGAACATGGGTGTGCTTATGTCTATTCCTGTCATGGCTTTTATTTCTCTAGGATATATACCTAGGAGTGGGATTGCTAGATCATATGATATTATATGTGGTATTACACATGGTATTATATATGTCTTCTTGCCAATGTGGTTTCTGCTGAGAAATCAGAGCTTAGTCTTATTGGTTCCCCTTTGTAGGTAACAGCTCATTTTTCCCAAGCTGCTCTCAGGGTTCTTTCTCTGTCCTTGGTTTTAGAAAGTTTGATACGTCTTGGTGACTTTCTTTTGAGGTCTATCCTGTATGGGGTTCGTTGAGCCTCCTGGATGGATATCTTCTCATCTTCCATGATATTAGGTTAGTTTTCTGCCAGCAAATCTTCAAAATTTCTCTTTTTTTTGTCTCTTCCTGTTTTGAATTACTAACATGTGTAAATTATTTCTCTTGATAATGTCACACATAACTCAGGTGGTTTCTTCATTTTTCTTCATTCTTTTTTCTGACTATTCCTCAAACAAATTAGCATCAAGGGATTTGCCCTTCTATTTCACTGATTCTGTCTTCCATTGATTCATTTCTTCTCCTATATCCTTCCATTGAGTTATCTATTTTTGAAATTTTACTGTTAATCTTCTGGATTTCTAGTTGCTGTTTCTGTACGGTTTCTAATTGTCTTTTCATCATTTTGTTCTTGTATTGTCTTCCTGAATTCTTCTAGAGTTTTGTCTTTGTTTTCCTTGATTTCTCAGAGGGTCCTATATATAAGTCTTTGAATTCCTTATCAGGTAGTTCCATTACCATTTCTTCCTCATAAAGGTTTTCTGGCCCTTTATTTCAGTCACTTGCTTGAGCCATTATGTCCTGCTTTTTTGTGACTTGATATTGTCTGCTGTCCCCGAAGTATTAAGGTGTTATTATATTTGTTTATTGATTGTATGTTTGCTTGCTTTATCCTGCTTTTTGTTTTGTTTTGATCTAGCCAGGTGGGCATGCTTATCTGGTCAGTAGTCTGGCAGCAACGGAGTGCTCACCATCTGTTTCCATGTGTGGGGGGTAGTGGCTGGAAGTGTGAGCGTAAGTCTCTATTCGCTGGGCAGGTGTTGGCCGCTGTCTGTCATTGATCTAGTGGCACAGGAGCAGGCGGAGGTACCTGCAGAGTGAACTGAGATGCAAGTGTGATGGGCAAGCGGGGGGGTGGGGGTGGTCATCACCGCTTGCCAGGTCAGGGGGTGGTGGGTGGTGGGCAGGTGGGTGTGTGGCAGGCAGGTGAATGCATATTTGCGCAGTGGTCGCCACTTGCTGGGCCAAGGGGTGTGTGTGGCAGGCAACTGAGTGCAGGGGTGCATGGTTGCCGCTGCTCACCAAGTGGGGGGGGGGATGAGTGGCAGGCGGATGACTGCACATGAGCGCGCTTATTGCCACTCTTTGGGTGAGCAGGTGGGGGATGGCAGACGGGTGAATAAAAGGGGAGGGCTTGTATTATAGTTTGTAGTCAGGTTGGGTGGTGGGAGTATGGGACCCTCCGCTGCTTCTGATCAGGAGGGAGGTGGAAGGGAGTGCACCCTTTCAGCTATGGGTGCCCAGGCACTTCCTGTCCATTTCAGCCACGAGTTGGGACCTGCCCCCAACCGTGAGCAGGGGTGGTGGTGGGTACGCCCAGAGTCCAGTTGGGTGGAGGATCTCCCACCAATACTCCGTTGATCAACCACCACATGCGTGCCCCGTACCCCAGAGGTCAAGAGACCGCTGCTTGTGCATACACCTGACTCGGGATCCTGGCTCCCTCCCTGCTCTGTGGACAGCAGGATTCCTGGAATTCTCGCCTTCTTTTCTATGTTTTTTGTCCTTAGATCCAGATCATCATCTGCTCACTTTGATTCTCTCTGGGTGCATTTATACAGTTTCTCTGGTCTCTTATGGGAATGTTGTGAAATTGTCTTCCTGTGCTCCTCACCTGGAGTCACTACTGGCTTTGTCTCAAGATAGCCATGTTGAGCCACGATGGCTGGTAGAGTGCCTTAGCTCCTGTTCACTCTTCTTTTGCTGCTTTTGTTCAACTTTTTCTTCCAGTTGGTGCTTGATTGAATTCTTTATCCTTCCTTTTTGACTTTCAGGGTTCTAGGATTGTTATCTGCATCTGTTTCACTTGGTTTCTCAGGTCTTTGCTGTACTGGGATGATATGGTGCATCTGAGTAAGCCACCATCTTAGCTCCTCCCCTCTGTGTGTGTATAAATTTTGATGTAAATAATTTATTTAAATTTATTGTGCTCTGAGAATTTGCACAGGGTTTTTTTTTAACTTAAAACAACTTTTTATTTTGATATAATTTTAGACTTACAAAAGACTTATAAAGGTAGTACAGCGTTCCCATATACTCTTCACCCAGTTTCCACTAATGTTATTATTTTACATAACCATGGTACATCTACCAAAACTAAGAAATTAACATTGGCACAAAACTATTAACTAATCTACAGACTTTGTTCAGTTTTTTCAATAATGTCCTTATTTTTGATTCCAGGATCCAGTCCAGGAAACCACATTGCATTTAGTTATCTTTCTCAGTCTTTCCTTGTTTTTCGTGACTTTGACAGTTTTAAAGAGTACTGGTCAGGTACTTTTTTGTAGAATGTCCCTGAATTTGGGTTTATCTGATGTTTTCTCATGATTAGATTGGGTTGGGGTGTTTTGGAGAAGAATACCACAAAGATGAAGTGTCCTGCTCAATGCATCTGGTCTTAGTTATCTAGTGCTGCTATAACAGAAATATCACAAGATATTAAAAAACAGAAATTTATTCTCTCACAGTCTAGTAGGCTAAAAGTCCAAATTCAGGGTGCCAGCTCCAGGAGAAGGCTTTCTCTGTCAGCTCTGGAGGTCCTTGTCATCAATCTTCCCCTGGTCTAGGAAGTTCTCAGTGCAGGGACTCTGGGTCCGAAGGATGCACTCTGTTTCTGGCACTAGTTACTTGGTGGTATGAGGTCCCCCCGTCTCTTTCCTCCCTTCTCTCTTTTATATCTCATAAGAGATTGACTTAAAACACAGCCTAATCTTGTGGATTGAGTACTGCCTCACCAACATAACCGCCTCTAATCCTGCCTCATTAACATCATAGAAGTAGGATTTACAACATATAGGAAAATCACATCAGATGACAAAATGGTAGATATTCACACAATACTGGGAATCATGGCTTAGCCAAGTTGACATACATTTCTGGGGGACACAATTCAATCCATAACAGCATCATATCTGGGGGTACAAGATATCAACATGACTTATTACTGGTGATATTCCAGCCCATGCTCAAGGGAAAAGAAATGAAGCTCCATGTTCTGGAGGGAAAAGTATCAAAGAATTTGGGGATAAATGTTAAAATCACCACAGTAATTAAATATTTGAGGGGAAGATACTTGGAAGCTAAGCAAATATTCCATCGCTCCTTAAAGTTTCATCTACTAGTTTTAGCATTTATCAGTGGATCTTGCTGATAATGTCTTAACAGTAATTTTCTATTTTCCTCATTCCTTCTACATTTGTTACTTGGAATTCTTCTGTAAACAGAGTATGTTCCAATTCATCAATCAATCCATCCATCTACCTACCTACCTATTTATTTATTTCAGTATGAACTAACAGATATTTATTTTGTTCTTTGGATTATAATCCAGAACTACTGTTTTTAGTTTGTTGTTCAAATTGTTCCAGCCACGGATACTGGGAGCTCTTTCAGGTTGGCTCTTGTGTCCTTAGGACCTGTCTGTAATTTTTTTTTTTAAAGCACTTCCTTACTTTCTGGTACTATAAGATGCTCCAGGTTCACCTTACACTTTCCCTGCCCAAGCTCTAGAATCAGCTGCTTTACCAAAAAGCCCTGGTTCCTTTATCTGAGAATGGTATTAGAATCCAAGATCTGGGTGCCTAGGTGTGCTCATTCCTACCAGTATCACTGCTTCTCTCAGAAGACAGAACTAAGAAATATGTGTATGCCTAGCAACCCATGTATATGCATATATTTATATTTGTGTGTCTATATTAAAATAAACATTAGTTCATACTGGTATCTCTGACTCTAATCCAGCACCACTGGGGTCATTCTAGCCTTTAGCCTTACTTATTTATAACTTCTTTCTCTGACAATGAGAAACATGGCTCCTATTAGCTACAATTTATTTGTTTACTTAACTCTAGTATAAACGTAGGAGTTCCTAGGTGGTGCAAACGGCACTTGGCTGCTAACCGAAAGGTTGAAGGTTTGAGTCCACCTCAGAGGAAAGACATGGCGGTCTACTTCTGAAAAATCATCCACTGAAAACCCTATGGAGCATAGTTCTACTCTGACACACATGGGGTCACCATGAGACAGAATCGGCCTGACAGGAACTTGCTTTGCTTTAGCATACATGTAAAGGAGTTTCAGAATTGCTAACCCATAGCACAGAGGGGATTTTAAAAGTGGAAAAACTCCCTGCTTCTCCCCAAAATACATCACCACCACTTACAATACCAGTATTCAATACTAGTTACATTAGAATTATAGTTCAGTTATATGACTGATTACATATGCATACGTAGGTAAACCTGGGAACCTAGTTCCATTCATCACATTGTTTCTATGGTAAAATATAGCAGTCTAAGTTTCAAATAACAAAATCACAAGTAAATCTTTAGAATTCGACTTATTTAAAAAAAATGATTGTCTAAACTCTGCAATAAAGCTAAAATCCCATTAAAATAAATACTACTATGAAAGAATTCTCAAGTTTCCAAGCCTCAGTCAATTATTCATTTATTTTGACTTAAAAAAACCTCAAAACCAAAACACTGCCATGGAGTCAATTCTGATTCATAGTGACCCTTTGGTATTCTGACTAAAGCTTCTGGAAAATCCTTTAGAGTTCTACATTCATTTATGAATTATATTACTTTTTTGCTGTATAAGCTCAATGAGGGCAAGTACCATGTCTTTCTAGTTCAGCATCATATCCCTACCACTTAACACATAATATTTTCTTAATATTTTGATCTGAGGATTATCCTCAAGCACTTGGCATAAGAAATCCACATCTGGGATCTTCAATTTCTAATGTCTTTCTCTTCAGCATAGTAATCAGCAGTGGGATTTTCACAGAGCAGTCATTAAAATAACAAATAAATAAAAATCCTGTGTGTCAAAAAGAAACAATCTTTGTTGGTTATGAAGGATGGGAGGGGTGGGGGTAGGAGGATACTAAATAGACAATAGATAAGTGGTAACTTTGGTGAAGGGTAAGACAGTACACAATACTGAGGAAGCCAGCACAGCTTGTACAAGGAAAGGTCATGGAAGCTCCATAGACACATCTAAACTCCCTGGGGGACTGAATTGCTGGGCAGAGGGCTGTGGGGACCATGGTCTCGGGGAACATCTAGCTCAATTGGCGTAACACAGTTTATAAAGACAGTGTTCTACGTTCTACCTTGGTGAGTAGCATCTAGGGTCTTAAAACCCTTGAGCAGCCATCTAAGATACTCCACTGGTCTCACCCCTTTGGGAGCAAGGGAGAATGAAGAAAACAAGATACAAGGGAAAGATTAGTCCGAAGGACTAATGGACAACCACCACGGCCTCCACCAGACTGAGGCCAGTACAACTAGATGGTGCCCGATTACGACCACTGACTGCTCTGACCAGTATCATAACAGAGGGTCCTGGACAGAGCTGGAGAAAAATGTAGAACAAAACTCTAACTCACAAAAAAAGACCAGACTTACTGGCCTGACAGAGACTGGAGAAACCCCATCAGTATGGCCCCCGGACACCCTTTTAGCTCAGTAATGAAGTCACTCCCGAGGTTCACCGTTCAGCCAAAGATGAGACAGCCCCATAAAACAAAACGAGACTAATGGGGCACAACAGTCCAGGGACAAGGATGAGAAGGCAAGAGGGGACAGGAAAGCTGGTAACAGGGAACCCAAGGTTGAGAAGGGACAGGGTTGACGTGTCGTGCAGTTGTTAACCATTGTCATAAAACAATATGTGTACTGTTTAGTGAGAAACTATTTGTTCTGTAAACCTTCATCTAAAGTATAATTAAAAAAATAAATTTAGAAAAAAAAAATCCTGTGTGTACTCCAAGGGTGCAACTTTCTCCTTCTCCTTAGTGTTATTTCTGCTCACTTCATTTTCCTTCTCATTTCCTCACATCCTTTTATCCCCAAGAGCTATTGCTGCTTCAGTTAAAATCCACTCTCAGTTTAAAGGGACATTAGCAAACGACAGGATGAAAATACAACTGTTACTTTGTCCTTGATTTAGAGGGCAGAAAAGAGGACTGCTATCTCAAATCTTCTCTCGGCCTTTCTCTACACAAAACTCTTGACCTAACTTTCATAACCTTGATGATCATTAAAATGCTTAGAAGGATTTTCTTGGTGTAATTTCAATTTCTACTGTTCTCAGAACTAAAGTCGTTTTCTGGTTCTAAGTTATATCTTTTACTTGAACCCTCTGAAACCACTCGGAGATGATAAACTTCACTGGTAAATCTAGTTTCCAGATATGAATTTAAAGGACAAGTAAGCCAGAATTAACTTTAACCCAGCATCTATTAGATGTCAGGAGCAGTGCTAGCAAATTTACAGAAGCTGTTAAAAACGATCTTCAGAAGAAGTATGTGGTATTATTCCAATTTTACAAATGAGAAAATTAAGGTATAGAGAAAATAGCACCTAATTAAGTGCTAGAGCCAAGATCTGAATCCAGTTCTGTCCTGCCCCATGCTTTTCCCATCACACCACATTGCTTTTTATGAAAAATGAGCTTTTTGTGAAAATTCACCTCATACGAATTTTCCAAACTTTAGAAGATCTCAAAAAGTTTCTGCTCCACACAATTCTAATTATGTGGAAGCATCTTTCTTTCCATTTCTTTCTGCTTAATAGCTGGAGCTTGCCTTTAAAGTGTCATCTATTCAAAAACAGAACTGTTACACAGAGCTGAGCATAATAAGTGTTTCTTCAATAGGCTCTTTAGAAAGCACTTACAAACTGCAAATAATAAATTACAGGGTATGAACTGGTTATCTTGATTTAGGTCACCTTTTTAGAACTTACTTCCTGGATATGAAAGCTCCATGTACATCTGTTACTATTATTTTGAACATACCTCGTCTGTGTTTTATTTTCTTAAAAAAATTTTTTTTAGAACTTCCAATTTTTTAAAGTGCTAAGCACTACTAGGTTACTTATTTGACAAATGTTTTTGCAGAATGACAATAAGACCTTCAGGTTTAATTTAGTTAAAGCTGGTACTTCAGAAACACAAAAAACAGTGAAACACTGAAAAAAAACAAAAACTTAAAGAAAAAGAAAAAAACGAAATTTTTAAATAAATTCATTGATTTGTGAGAAAAAATTAGGAGTACATTCTTATTAAGTAGAGAAAGTATCAATATATAAGCCAGGTAGAATGAAAGCAGAATCCTGATTTTTGGTCTTGCTTGAATTGGGTTATTAGTTGAAAAATGGAAATAAAGGTTATTTCATAGCACATCAAGCTCTGTAGTATTAAAAAAAATTCAAATCATAATTAAATAGAAAAGAGTTAGGTTGTTCCAGGCACCCACAGCATGCTTGTAATATGAATATTGTTCATTTAGGTCAGGTACATACTAGTTCAGGATGGTTTGGAAGGCCACATTTTTTGCATGGTTCATCATCATCTGCTGGGATAACCTCTTCACTTTCCTTTTCTTTTTCCTCTTCTGAAGCTGCAGATGATTTTTCACTGTCAGACGCTTCACTTTCATCATTGCTGGAATATTTCCACCTGCCACGTGTTCGAGAACCAGTCCATCGAACTTTACCTTTGGGTTTTACCTTGTATAAAATAAAAAAATGGGGATAATTTGAGATAATAGATTTTTTTTTTTAATAAACCTCTCCCTATTACAGAAATAGTACACATCCATTGTAGACTATTTAGTCAATGAACAAAGAAGAAAAGGAAAATTACTGTAATCTCATCACCAAATATAACTAGTATTAAATTTTGGTATATATTTCCATTATTTTTTCTGTGTTTTTGATTTCTTAGAAAATGGAATCACTGTGAACATTCTACCTATCTTCCCTAGTCATAAAATATTCTCCTAACATCACTGCAAATGACTGTGTAATATGCCATCACCTAGCTGTGTTTATCTCATCCCCCATTAGACATTTACGTAGTTGTTTCCCATTTTTTCACTTTCATAAACAAAATATCCTTGTAAATATAAAATTTTACATACACCTCTGTGGTTAGGATAAATTCCTCGAAGAGGATTCTGGGTCAAAGGCCATGTATATTTTAAAAGCTCTGCAACAGAGCACTGACTATATTCTCACATACTATTATGCAAATTTTAAATTCTGTTAGAGATTAATTTAAAAATTCCAAATGAGTCAGAACTATATATAAAAATCCTGACAAACTTCAAAAATATATTATTCAGAGAATAAGTTTACAAAGTTGTAAACGGCTTTGTATTGCCTGGTTTTATAACCTTTTAATTCATATTACAGGTCATTTCTACAATTCCTCAGCATAGTACAAAATGATTCTAACAACAGAATAAAGAAGAAACATTTTTTTTTTCCTAAGTAAAGAATTCAAAATTCAGTATTTAGGGAAAAAAAGATTACTTACAATGAAGGCTCATCTGATGATTTAAATAAATTAAAAACAAAAGTAGTATTTTTAATTATAACAAACTCCCAGAGACTAGCCAAAGACTTGCTGTACAAGATATTGTTAAAATTAAGAGTATCATACGAAAGAGAATTTTGGCTTTTCTAAGTCTAATAATTAAAATGGGGGAAAACAGGCATTCAAATACACTGGTAATGAGAGGGTACATTAATAAGGCCTTTTTGGAGGGCAGTGTGGCAATAGCTATCAAAACTTAAAATATGCATGCCCCTTGACCCAGCAATTCCAATTCTAGGAGTCTATTCTAAAGAAATACTCACTCATGTCCAAAAGGATCTTCAGTGCAGCATTGCCTGTAATAGTGAAAAATTGGAAACAACCTAAATGTCAATCAATAAGGGAGTGGTTAAATAAACTGAGGTACATCCACACTATGGAATACTATGTGTCCATTAATAAGCAAAAGGTAGACTACACTTCCTGACAAGAAAAGAGTTTAAAGATACATTGTTAAGTGGGGGGAAAAAAATCATAGAAAAATGAACATATTTGATCCAACTTATTTTTTTAAAAAAGTGGGTAAATGCTTATGAACACAGAGATAAATTCATGGAAAAAGGACTGGAAAATATGTACCCCAAACTGTTAATAGTGGTTATGGGAAGTTTTCATTTTTTTATGCTACAGCCTGGGTAATACTTGAACAGATTACAAAGAGAATGTTATCCCTATACTGCTGAAAACTTTTTTTAAAAGTTTAAAAGATGACAAGATTTTACAGTCTGAAATTTGATACCTGGTGATAACTGTTGAGATAAAATAGCTTAGATATAGGAAGAAAGATACTGTAAATAAATTTTAAAAACATTACCTCTGAATGACTACATTTTAGCCAAAAGCAAAGTTATACAGACAAAAAAGCCAAATATTTCTAATTAAAAATTAAAACTCAGAGTAGTGAGTTTTACCTTGCTTACTTTAGAATTTGTATCCTTCTCCGTTTTTTTCAAATTTTCTTTTTTGTCTGTTTTTTGCAAAGCTGCTGACTCTGCTTCTGCTTCATCTTCTCCTTCCCCTCTTTTTTTATCAGCTTTCTGATCTCTAATCTCGGCCACTTTTGCTGTGGGTCTAGATATTCTTGGAGACCTCCTTAAAGTACGACCCACATTTGCTTTCTCTTCTTCCTTTTCCATCTTCTCTTGCTTGGTTTCTGGTTCTACAATTTTTGAGGGAGAATCTGGCTTCTTCTTCCGACTGGATATCCTAATAGTTAATTTGATACCCTCTTTCTGCCTTTCAGAGGTTATTTCTCTATTTTCTGAGGCAGTGGTTTCTTCTTCAGAAATCAATTTATACTTAAATTTACTTTTTTGTATAGAACCCTTTGTTTCAGAAGAATCCTCTATGACAGAGGCCTGGGCATTGTTTAGATTATCCATTTCCACCTTTAATGACTCAGAATTCTCTTTTAGGATTTTTGAGTTTCCTGCTTCCAAGGGCTGACCTTCACCAGAACTTGTGCTCTGACACTCTACCACTTCTTTTTCTGAGGCTAGTTTGTCACAGAGACCAGTCATGTTGGATGGTGAAGTTTCAGCTGCCTCTGGAGAGCCTGGCTTTTCTGGCTCTTTTTCAGTACTCCTTGGAACTTCTTCTGGTATTGGACTCAATCTTTGTGTGTCGTTATCAAGAAAAGTCTTTTTGGACTTCTCTAACTTTTCAAGACATTCTAGGCGTGGTGGGCGCTTATCTTTCTTACTCTTCAGAGATTTCTCTTCAATTTTCATGGTACAGGATTCATTGGTAGATAAAATACTTTTTAGAGAGAGATCCTTTGTCATCTCAGAAGTCTTAAGAGAGGTTTCCATTTCTGGAGAACCAAGTTGTCCTTTCTGACTCGGGGTCTCTGAAACTGAGATTGAATTATCTGTATCTTTCCCTACAAGGACCACTTCCTTCTCAAGCTCACCTATTTTTGTACTTGTTAAAACAGAATTTAAGGACTCTGCTCCATTTCCCTCTACAACGACATTTTTGTCCTTAGAGGGGCTACAGCTATCTTCCTTTGCATCAGACAACTTTGATTCTATTTGTTCTGTCTTAAAATTTGGAGTTACCTTTTCATCACCAACTTCTCCATTTACCAGCTGTTTCCCTTCAAGGCCCAAAGCAGTAATTGTAGAGATTCTTTTACAAGTTTCTTCCTCTTGTTTTATTTCATCTTTCAAAAACTCTTTTGTTGGAGTAACTGATTTACATAAAGGTCCTTTGACTGGACTGTCAAAATCATCACTCAGTTTAATTTCTCGCTTTTTCAGTGGTATCTTAGCCTGCTGGTCATTTTTAAGTTTCTCAGTTTCTTCAGTAGATTTCTCAGTAATTTCTTGAGAAGATTTAACATTGCCACCAAACTCTAGTCTCTCAGGCTCCTGTGCCACTAGTTTCTCCATACTACTTTTAATATCTTTAGGGTCTACTCGATATTCTTTCACTTCAATTTTAGTAGGTTTAACATTTTCCTTGAAGGAATCACTTTCTTCTTTGATGATCTTTTTGTCCTCACTTTCTGGCAAAAGTTTTTCTAGTTTCACTATGACTGGCAGTTTCACAAGTTCCTTTTCATCATCTTTTTCTATTTTCACAGTAGTTTCTTCAAGAACACGGGGTGTAGAAAGATTTTCTGAATCGACTGGCTGCTCATCAACTTTCATCCTTTCATTTTCTTGCTGTTTCTCTAAAAATCAGAAAAAGTTTAATTACATAAATAGAAGCTTTCAAGGTTATAAAATATAAAAGGCTTAATATAATGTTGTTGTTGGGTGCTGTTGAGTAGATTCCAACTCACAGCTACCCCATGCGACAGAGTAGAGCTGTCCCATAGGGTTTTCTTCACTGTTTTCTTTATGGAAGCAGATCACCAGGTCTTTCTCCTATGGAGTTGCTGGATGGGTTCGATCTGCCAACTTTTCGGTTAGCAGCCAAATGCTTCACTATTGTACCACCAGGGCTGCTTCTTAATATATGTTAACATTTGAAGTTTCTCTCTCAAAAGAGGTGGCTTTTGTCATTAGACATGTTATAAAATTTGACAATAAAATTACAAAACTCTGAAGCACAACTTCTGGATATTAGAAAACTATTCTTTAAAAAGACTGTGCGTTATATTTTTACTGTCAGTATTCTCTATGGCATGCAAATATTTTCACAGCTCTGATAATTCATTCCAGCTGAAATGATAACTCAAAAATATGAAACTGAAAATTCTACGTAAGGCATTTCCAATAGACCACATTTGTTTTATAAAGTGACAACTGTTCTTTGCAAGTCACTGAGCACTTCATTTCATTGAGGTAACATGAGCATCTCACTGGGAAAATGTTTGTTTTGTATTTTATTCAGATTTTAAAAATAACACACATTCTCTACAAAAAATGAAAGATAGAAAAATAAAAAATATTGTTCAATCCTATTACCCAGAGGCAATCACTATTAATATTTTTGGTTACTTCTTTCTAATCTTATATATTTTTCACAAAGTGAGAATCATGTTGGCCACATTTTTTTCATCAAAACATTAATACTTTTTTATGATATTAAATATTGTTTGTAAAAACTGAACTTAAAGATCATGTAACATTCCTCAGTGTGGTTATACTACAAGTTACTTTATCAAATGCCATTATTGAACATTTCAGAAGTTAATATTTTTACAAAGAAACTTTTTAAATTTATCTGTCAATTCCTCTTTTTACTATATTGGCTCTACGTTTTCAACTTTTATGGTGTACCTAATGGTGCAGATTTGAATATAACAAAAGCTATATTCAGTAAATAGTATAATCTCTGAATAGGATTAGAGACTGCATAGATGCTGTAAATTTATACTCATAGATTTGAGCACAGAGTTTTCAGAATTCATTATCTACATTTCCACCCCCTCAACCTACCCTTACACAATACTGAAAAACCTCAATTCCAAACAAAATTTTATCAAGACAGAAATTTCTTTTTAAAATGTTGAACAGATTCTTTTTAAGGTGATAAACCAGAGTTACAATATATATTTCATGAGAATAAAAATGAAATGGATAAAAGTGAGATGAAGTAGACATGCTTTTTAAATTGAGAACTCAATTTTTCTAAAAAGTGAGTATTTTTATTACAAAGCACCATTTCTTTTATGTCCAATCATGTTGCAATTATTTACAATAGTTCAAAATAAAAAATTCATGACCCATCCAGAGCCTTCGAGTATCAGTATTACTCTTCCTTCTTTACACTGTCAGTGATTTGATACATGTATACTGCTAACAAAATTAAAGAAATGACAGTGATTATCTCAAATGTATGTCTTCTCTGTCCCACTGATAAAATAGGTCTAGTAAATTCCCATTCACTGAGATTGGTTAGGGTATTAAGAAATTTGATTAAATGAACGTCCTAATGAACAGTTAAAATATACAGATTACCATCTTTAAAAATAACTCCAACTTAATACTAGGAATTTACTGAACACAATTTATTATTTCTTATGTTTATGGTTCAGAAAGCATCTCAGGATCTCACTGTGACCCAAGGTAAAACGACACTATGTTTTTCTTTGGGGATGGGGAATGAGGAGGGTAGCTACAGTTATTTGAATTGATTGTGATTTAAGTAACAACATGGCAAAATAAAATGAGGAATAACGTTAGGTTCAAGACTCCCAGGCTAATTCTAATTCACATAGTGGTTTGTGAATATGTCACAAACTCTCTGATTCTCATTTTTTCATGTATAAAATAAAGGAATTGAACTAAGTGACCACAACTATTATTCTTTGCTGATAGTGTATTTTTTTTATTGCAAATATATTAAATTTTTGGTATTTTTGTCTTTGGCTCAGATTTCTTAAAAGTAAAACATGACAACAATTATTACTTGTCTTCTCCTAGATTAATGCATATGTCTCCACAGAGAACAAAACAACTGGACAGAAAATGAACCTTTAAGGACTATCGTAATTGGTGAAAAGTTTATTCAGTTACACAAGCATTTTTCCAAGGTTTATCAAAAGGAAATTTTAAGAGAGGATGCAAATGAGTTTAAGAGGCATGAAATTTTAAGTTACAAAATTTACTTGAAAAATCACAATGCAGCAGCAACATTTCTTGACAAACTTAAGGTAATTTAAGGGAAGTATTATCTACTGTAATTTTTTTTAAAGCTGATTCATTCATTTACTCAATAAATATTTACCGATTACCTACTATGTTCTTTCCCAAACACCCAAACCAGAATTACTGCGTAATGAAACATTATTCAATGTTCCATATATGTTCACAGAGTGAAGGACATTGCTAACTGCCTACCCAGTATCTATTCTCCTCTTCTTTCTTACTAACAAAACTCTGATTTTGTTCAGGAAGGCACTAACCTCCCCAGACATCTTATAGCTATGGGTCATGTGATCCAGTGTTGGCAAATAAGATGCTTGAAGAAGTCTACTGGGTGAGATGTACAGGATTTAGCTGACCCATGCTTTATGCCCTTTCCCTTTCTTTCTACCAATAATCTGCACACAATACCTGGAGAAGGATAAACCAAAGCCTCAGGCTAAGGATGGCAGAATAGGAAGGGTACCTGATGGATTTATGGAGCTGCTGTACCAAACCTGAACTCCTTACCATGTGATTTTTATTATAACAAACAAAAAAAACCACCCTGTTTAAATAAACATGCAGCCAAATGCAATCCTTTCTGATTTTCCTTTCATTTCTGTTGCCTACTACTTTCTCCTTTCCTATACTAATCAAAATTTTTTCATACACTCAATATATTTTGCTCTTGCCATGTGTTGGGTGATATATGAGTAACTAATCCCTGTTGAGGTTTTAATTTCTTTATAGTTCTCCTAAGACTTGAGAAACTTAAAAATAGCATGGTGGTTTCAGATCCTGGTTCAAATCTTACATACCTATGGTGAGAATGTAAATTAGCACAAACATTTTGAAGCGCAATTAAGAAATACCTACTCTAAATCCTGAAGAAACACACTGTCTAACTCAGCAATTCTACTTCTGGAGAATATCTTACAAATAAATATAAAGAGATATTTACATGAACATTTGTTACTAAACTGCTGTGAAACAGTGGACTAGTCTAAATACCCCTCAAACAGGGGAAAGGATAAACAACCACTATACAGCAAACAAAATGAAACAAATTTACATGCATCAATATGGATAAAACTCAAAAACAATGATGAGTGAAAAAAAGTTGCAAAAGGATAGGTACAGTATGAACCATTTGTAGAAAAGTTATAAAACAAAATAATGCTATATATTTGTGGTTACATATACATGTAGGAAACCCAAAAACACATGCATGGGAATGATTTTGAGATTGTAAGCAGGGAGGGGCAAGTATTAACTGTTCCTATAACTTTTTTTTTTTTTTTAACTCAAAAGCAAAATTTGGCAAACCATTGACAACTGCTAAATCACCATACAAGTGTTTGCTATATTCTTTTCTGTTTATCTGAACAATTTTATTAAAAACTAAGATGATGGATCAGATGAACCTTTATGCTCTCATGTCACTTCCACACTGACCAACTCTGAGATCTTGGGAAAATTACCTTAACCTTTCTGAGTCTCTTTTGACACTAAATTCTCTAAAATGAAAATAAAAATACTGATCTCAAGGAGTTGCTGTGAGGATTTAAAAAACAAAGCTTATAAAGAACGTAACACACTATTGGGAGCTATTATTATTGTCGTTATTCATTATTTTGCCCTCTTTCTTACTACAAACTTTAGACACATCAAAAATTCAGTGTTTCCCAAATCTGCCATCACTTAAAAAAAATATGTTTTAAACTCTGTCAACTACCTAGAAAGCTAATTCCATTCTACCTATCGGCTCCTCCGTTTCCTAATCTAGAAAACGATTAAAACATCGGAAACTATCTCCTAGGGCTGTTAATGACTATATGCAGTACTTCATACAAAGTCCTCAGCATAGTGGCACATTTATTATTATTATTAATTATCATTATTGGTAAATAACTTCAAGCCCAGTTCAAATGTCACTCCATTTTATACTTTTATCTGATTCTTTCCCAAAAAAGAACTAATCTTCCTGTATTTGCATATTGCTTTATATAAACTTCTATTATACCACTTATTACCCAGAATTACAATTATTTACTTATAAATCTATCTGTCCTAACAGTCTATTAATTACTCCTCTGGGGCAGTATCAAGCACACTCAAATATCTGCTGACTAAACTGTATAAACCGAAATGGCAACAAAGTCTAGTCTAAACGTTGAAAAATAACATCAATATACATTTACAAATGTAGCTTTTATCAAACAAAGTTTTTATGCAGACTGCAAAATAATAATTAAAAATTCTTTCAAGTTTATCTGAATAATTTACAAAGCGAGATTTGGGTACAGACATGACACATTCAATGTATGCTTAAGTATACCTCACAGAAGGATTAATAAATACATTTATTTAAGAAATCATTTAAAATATAAGAAAAAGAGGTGGGGCCAAGATAGCAGAGTAGTCAGATGCTTCCTGTGGATCCTCTTACAACAAAGACCAGAAAAAACCAGTGAATCGATTATATATGGCAATCTGGGAGCCCTTAACATCCAATGCAGAGTTGAGGAACTGGACTGAGTGGCAGGGGTAGGGAGAGACGGTTCACAAGCAGCAAAGAGATGCCAGACTTGACCAG